GAGAGGGGATGTTGTTAAACAGTTTCTTACCGTAAGAGGGAGTTGGGACCCAGATCTTTCCAGTTAATCACACAACAAACTTAGATCATCGCAATAAAAAGCTCGGCTCACTCTGCCTCCTCTAGTGACCGGCGGTGCACGGGGTCCCTCCGAGGAGCCATCTCCCCTTCTCCTCCCCGCCAGCTGCCGGGGGGGCCGCCAGCACCATGCGGGCCACCCACCTCCTGCCAGCCCTGCTGCTCCACCAGCTGCTGCTGCTGCCCACCGCCATCCCCGCGGCAGGTCAGTTCTTCTATCACTTCGCTAGCGACCCCCGTCCGCCCCGCAGCCGCAGCACGGCCCCGCTGCCCCGCTCCGCCGCGGCAGGGAGGGAGGGCGCTGGGGCGGCGCGCCGGGAGCAGCCCGCAGGTCGGAGCCCCACGTCAGAACCCGCAGGTCTGAACCCGCAGGTCTGAACCCGCAGGTCGGAACCCGCAGGTCTGAACCCCCAGGTCAGAACCGCAGGTCAGAACCCGCAGGTCGGAGCCTGCAGGTCAGAATCCGCAGGTCAGAACCCGCAGGACAGAACCCGCGGGTCGGAGCCCGCAGCCCGCAGGGCGCAGGTGGGGCTGGCAGCGCCCCAGCCTGCGTGTCCGGGCGGGTGTCAGTGCCGTGGAGCCGGGCCGGACGAGCCGCGCTCCGGCCGCGCAGCCCCGCGGGAGGCGGGTCCCGTCCCGGGCTGCGGAGCCGCCGCCGCTCCCTCCGCCCGCACCGTGCCCGAGTGGGGCGAGGGGCTCGCTCCCGCGACGGGCACCCCTGGAAACCGGGGGAGAATGGAAGGAAATATCATCTCCCAGAGGTGCTCCCGGCTGTTATCAGGACGCGACCGTGTATCCTTAATTTCCAGTGGTAGAATAAATGTTAAATAACAGAAGTTGACAAGGAATACCCAAAGCACGGGAGAGTGCGTTGCTGAACGGGAATGTCCTTGCTGAAGTTCAACAGCATGAACATGCTATTTCCAGACTGAAATACTTGTAATTTCATTAGATGTTCCCGCTGAAATCCGGGAGATGGAGAGGGGGCAAGGAACGAACAATAAGTAATCAAGTGCTGGATGCTCTTTAGCTGAATTTCTTTCCTGAAGTGTCCCCCCTGGACTGGTTATCTGAAGAGCCAACTCTGTGCTTTCTATTGGCCCTCTGGGAAGACGCTTAAGGAAAAAAGTTTGTAAAGGTTTCTACAAACCTTTCCTTCCTTCCGGCAACATTGTTAGGGTCAGACCTTTGCACAGACAGAAACAAAGGACAGGCACAATTCAGGGAAAGAATCTGCCAGGAGCGGGCAAAGCAAGGGCAGAGAAGGGTGGCAGCTGGGTTCTGGGGCAATATCTGAGGGCATCAGGCAGAGTATGGCAAGGAACACCGATGGCTTCCAAGATGTAACCATGTTTTGTAGTTGAAAAAAAGAAATATTTTGAAATGGGATCTCAAAGTGGAATATTTTGTGATCTGAGTGGGCAAGTCAAAAACAGACTGGCAGCATCACGTGCAGTAAAACCTGTTGTTTTCCCCCTGCAAGCAAGAGTGTGGTTCTGTAGGATGCTGAACAATCTCATTACAGCTTCTGTGCTCAGTCTGCTCACTGAGGATATTGTTTTCACAGGCATTCTTTAGCAGGTGACACAGAGACACTATGATACTATGCTTTTCTGAACTCCTTTTCCATGTACATTGGAATTCCATTTTTTTCTTTGGATATGCAGCTTCTCTGAAAAGTGATGACTAGAGCTGGTTAGGAATTTTCTGAGAAAATGTTTTGGGTTTCTTTTACTGGAAAATGCTGATACATTGAAACTTTTCACAAAAATAATTCCTGTTAAAGAGAAACTTTCTTTGGTTTGTTTCCCTCAAATCAAATGACAGAAATATGAAGCAGGAGGCATTGCCAATAGCTTGTGGTAAGCTGCTGTTGAGAAACACTCACCTGTGACAGAAGCTCATCAACTGATGAGCTGGTAAGGAAAAAAAAACCAAAATAAACACTGCAGACACATTCACACACACACTTTATTCCACAGGCCAAAGGTACAAAACTAGTCTGTAGCCAAGCTCATAAGAAGCTAGGTCATGCTTTGCTCTCCTGGCAAGTCAGGGTGCTTTTCTTGAGTGAGAGAAAGTTGTCCCTGGCTCCTAGTGCTGGTCTGCAGTTTACCAGCTTCAACATATGTTGGACCTATCTAATATTTTGAGAGGGAGACTGAGAGACATCTTCTGTACTGCCTGTATCAGTACTGGGCTGATGGATAGGGTTGTGCCTCAACCAATGGGATCTCCATTTTAGGAGTGAATGGTTCACCTTGATGAGGAGAAAAATTAGATTTCCCAAACTTCAGAGTTTTTCAGAGTAGGACTTGTTTTCTGACCAGCTCTCATGGTGACAGTATCTTGATAATCCTATCTTTCTTAATTTTCTTCCTACACCTTCCTTAACATTACTTAATCCTGTTTGCCTTATTGGCAAGAAAGATGACTCTTATCTCATGCTGCCATTTGCTTTCCTTATTTTAAAAAATACATGATCTTCAACAAAAGTGTCTGTATATTTACACTGTAGGCAAGGGAAATTTGTGCTACTTCTTTCTGAAAATACAAATTTCTGGATCTTATCTGAAAATTATTGCTTTGTAAACATATATGTTGTCTTAGTTTGGTATGTTGAATTCTTTTTACTGGGATGTTTTCAAGAAAGATTAGGGTTTGCCTACATATGATTATGTTCAGTTATGAAGAACAAACTAAATGATGAAAACAGAATTAAAACATGAAAAGTCTTTTGGTAGTCCATACTTCTAGTGCTGTTCTGTCAAAGCTGATTTCAAATGTACATAATGATGAACATAGTTTCTTCTGTGAATGAATATTCTGGGTTTCTAATCCCATGCCCTAAATTCTGTGCAAAGACAATGTCCGATGTAACAGAACTTGCTGACTAATACAGTTGGATTATATTAAGGGGTAAAGAAAAAGGAGAGTGAAGAAAACACAAGAAATTTAAATGTCAGCAAGCTGTCTACGTTATCACTTTCTGAGTTTCTTTTTAATATGTAAAAGATAAGGCAGTGATTGATGAAAGATAAATGTATATGGTTCCTATAGATGCTTGCCTAGTCATTATCGGAATCCTGTAAGTCTCTATCACTTGCACAAAGACATTTATCTGTAGCTAATAACTTTATCAAAGTTTTCTTTCTGGTTCAAATATTCTTATTATTCCGTATTCGAGGGAAGTATCTCTTCAATAATGTGCATCTAGTGAAATTAAAAATTACTCTTTAATCAAAGCAACAAGTAGATTGGCATGTTGCAAAAGAGTGAATGTTAAAGATTTATTTAAATTAAAGATACATTTTTCTCTGAGAGGACTGTCAGCCAAGTATGTTTATTTAAATTTATTTAAAGCAAATTCTGTAGTTTGGATGATCTGAAGAAGTTGCTAATGAAGATGTGGGAGTTTCTCTTAGTTCCTATATATAATTATCACTTAAAGAAAAATAAAATCAAATCCCACAGCCATAATCGATTTTTGAATGTTGTGTATTCCTGTGGTCTGCATAGCTAAGTATATTTTAAAAAATTAATGTGCTTTATACTTTCCCATCCCAGCTGTACATAATCATTATACTATATACTGTCAACAAAGTGAAAGGATACTGTGCCAGTTGGAAGAGTGTATTCCTTCTGTTTAATGGAATCCTTTTGGTGCTCAGTGCCAGGGGCTGCTTGTTTTGCTCTCAGATGTAATACAGCTCTTACCCTGCTTAACAGATTTTCTCTTTCTATTAATGCCATTTTCATAAGCAACATAGTAGGAGAATATAGAGTTGAAAGACGTGAGATTAAAATGTTGCGTAAAACTCTGGAAAATTGACCACTGAAGTCAAGGAAAGCAAAGCCTCTTATTGGAGGAGCTCATCTGTCATTATTGTAATACTTCAGCTGAGGCCATGGCTGGAAGGGAAATGTGCAGTCTCCCTCAGAGAGGAGAATATCTCCCTTTTGAATCTTTATGCTGAAAATTAGTTTGCCACTTAAGCATTTCAAACTTTTCCAAGGAGGTTTGAAATCAGGAGAATTGGGCCCTTTTTGAATAAAAGCATGATGTGGAGAAAAAAACCCATTGCCTTGAATGTTTCACAGTTACTTGTACTGGATGAGTGCTGGAATTTCACTTTCTCCCCATCAGCATTGAGGTGGGGTGGAATGGTGGAGACTGGAAGGCAGCACAGAAGTGAGAATGGATTGATCATGGCTGTGAGAAAGGATTGATCTCCATGCTTTCTTGGGAAGCAAGGATAGTAGGACAGCTGCCATAATGCAAGCGAAATTTGAACTTTGCTGTGGGGAAAGTAGGGCATCTAAAAAGAACTGGGAAGAAGGGATGTGGACATCCTCACTGTTACCCCATCTTTCCCTGCAGGTTTTTGGGGCAGTGCCCTCAGAGGGTTGTAGAGCTGTTTCTGAAACTGGTTAGTACCTACATGCAAAGCAGCACTGTGGCAGAGCAGAGCTGGGAACGTGTTCCAGATTAGTCAAACGTGTTGGCAAAACCTAGCTGTAGTTTTCAGTGGCTTGTGGGCCTCCACCCATGTGCTGTCTGATGAGCCCAGCCGTGCCTGGCAGTGCTCGGTGCTGCTGGCCCAGATGGGGACTGGCTGCTCCCTCTGTCCCCTCTCAGCTCCAGATTTTCCTATGACTCGCTGCCTTGGCCAGCAGCACTATTTTTATGTATACAAGATGCAGCAAGGCTCTCATCCCTCCTCACAGGGGCTGTTTTGCTGCCCTCAGCCATCTGTCACCTTTTGTTTTGCCCGATCCCTGCCCTGCCTACTTGTGCTTTTTCCTTAGCCCTTGCTGCATGCCCGGAATTCCGGTTGGCTGGGACACCAGCACAGAGGAAGGGCACAACATGCTGGGTGCCTTGAAGGAGACACCAAGTGCTTGCAAAGACTGTTGAATGCAATGGAAAATGGTGGGGATTTAATACTTGTGCACAATGCATGCAAAGACAAATCTTACAAGGGGAAATCCTCTCTGCAGTTTAGCCAGAGGTTAGATACAGTAAGTCAGAGTACAAACTGCAGCACATTTGTTTCTGCCAGTGGGTCCCAGCATCCTGCTAAGCAGATAACCTTTTCTTGGAAGGAAAAGAGCTGTCCATTTGCAGCTACCATCCAATTTTAGAATACACTATCAGTTGTTAGCATTATCCTTAGCTCCTTCAGCTTTCAGGCTGACTATAGGAGTTGATTCCAAAGGCAGGACTTTAGCATAAACATGAAGTTGGGTTCCCAGTTACATGGCAGTCTTTGCAGTTGCTAATAAGGGTGTGTGGGTGGCTGGTGTGAGTAGTAATGTAAAGCCAAAAAGAAATATCTTTTTGCATTTCCTGAATCTGCTCAACAACTAGACTGAGAGCCAATGTAGAAATACGGAAATCATTATCTATTATATATAGATATTGTATGGATAGTTATATATATTTCAAACTACTTCCTATAGATTGTGCGTTTTTTCCTTATGAGACTCTTGTGCCAAGAAAATAAATTTCAGAAGTTAAAACATTCCCATCATCCTCCAGGTACTTCTGAGAAACTGTTTAGTTTTGACAAGCTAGAGATGCCTCCTTGGACAGCTGGTTTTATTTTGGTGACTTTCCATCTACACAGCTGACTGCAGATTTTATGGGTATGGTTGGTAAACTTCTTTTACGCCAAATTATTGTCTTACATAAATAACTGCATTAAACTTAATCTGTCGTTTTAAACCTACCCAATCTACAAAGTTGTTTTCTTGGGCACAACTCAGATTGTTCCAGTTTCTCATTATGTTGGTATGTCTTTCTTCTTTCCCCCCCCCCGAATGCGAAGTCATTTGGAAAAGGTGTTCACTTTTTGCATTCTAGCCAGGAATCTGGATATTTTTGATGCTGAAACAGGCAGAAGGAAAAGTTAAAGTAGATGAAAGTAAGCTAAAAGTGTTGGGCATTAATTCTTCTTGTCAGAGTGATTCTGTTATGACTTAAGAGACAAAATTGCCTTGAATGTATTTACTGAAAAAGTGCTTTTTAAATGTTCACACAGATAACAATATTGTGATGACCCTATTAATGATCTTAATATCAACATTCATCTTTAACATCCTTTCTTTTATTTCTGTGACCGTACTCTTAACTTCAGTATGTTGTGTCCAAAAGCATTTAGTAACATCTACTTTCACCATCTGGTGAAGATTTGGTTTGCTTGTTTTTCCTTTTTTTCTTGATGAAGCCAATATATTTACGCTATCATACTGAGGTACACACCAGAACACAGTTTACCCTTGATGTTTTATATCCTTTAAAAAGTATTATCTTGGAAATACTTTATTGAATATAATTAAAACTATCACTTCTATCATATTTAATAGACAAGTTAAACACCTCACTGTATTTGCATACTGGTTTCAACCCATATATGATGAGAACTGTTCCTTTTTTTTAAGTCCTGCTCACTGATTTTTGCTTTTTACACAAGTTTTGCCAAATTCTATTTTATGCATATAAACATACTTTGTTTTTAATTTTCATATTAAATTGTCAGTGTTTTGATATATCTTTGATATATCTGACACAGTGATAATACATTGTTTTGCAGATTTTTGCTTTGCACATTTTTTTTCCCATTCAGAAACTTATAAGTTTCTGAACTTATAAGTAACCATGCATTTTTTGTCAAGTATGGTGTCCCCTGATAAAATGCTTGATAAGTTTATTGTGTTGAACTCTGCTTTCCTACATTTATTTCAGGTGTGCTTAAAGCTGGGGATATTTTCTTTTTTTTTACTATTTTTTTTTTAATTAAAAGTCTTTCATATGATGAAAGTTTTCTGATTTTCCACCCCCTGCACCCAAATTTTAAATCACGTGATATTCCTCTCTCATTTTTTCCCTAGCTCATTGGGAAAATCCAGTTTACTTTATCTTGCAGTGATGATTGTTTGCAAAATTAAATTAATAGTTAATCTAATATTAGCATTCTGACCTGGTTATCAATTATAACACAAATAAGTCAATTTCTAATTAGTTCATCTGTTAACTGCTTAAGGTCAAGTGACTTAATTTCATTACAAACATGATGCAAAATGTTAAACAGAGATCTGATATGTCAGTTGATACTGAAAGAAAGTGCCTATGTCTGTTTCATATTTCTGAAATAATTGTGTCAGTCTATATGACTATTTTTCTTCACTGGAATATATTTTGAAATCTCAGCTTCTCCATGCTTCCTGCACAACACGTGGACAATTTCCCTCTTTTAAATATTTCTCCTCATGCCATGTTATTTTTGTATTTCATTCTTCATTTGGAAGGACTGCAGTGGATTCTTGCAGTTCTCTGACAGCATCTGCTAGTCTAAGGAATCCAGGTACCTTATTTTTCTTGATTTATTTTCCCATAGATTTAGTTTATCTCTGACATCTTGCAAACAAAGAACAATGATGCTTTTACATGAGTGTTCATATTATTTTAAAAACTGGAAGTTATAAAAGGTCCCCACACAGTTGAAATTCAAACAAACTTAAACTGTTGTTTAGCTCAACAAAGCAAATAAATAGTTAAATGCTCAAGTTCTGCAAGTCTAAACAAATAGAAAAGGGAAATAAAACTCAATCACAAAGCACCAAATTTTCATTAAGAATCTCAATATAAACATAAATATTTAATTTAAATGTATTTATCTTCCCATTTGGAAAACCTGGTGTAAAGTTGTGATGGTTTTGTTCTGTATAATAAAATGGGATGCAAAATTAGAAAGAAACAAAAGGAATGAGCTTTCTTACATTATCAGGAGATTTCAAGATGTGTTTCTTTAAGAAACTACTCAGTTTTGCATAGACTAAAGTGATATTTGGAAACCCTGGGAGCTGACATGCTGAGTGCATCATCGCTGGTATTTAATAAAAGATTGGTAGAGTCTATAACAAGTCCATAGAAGTAGAGCTTTTTCTAGGGGAGGCAGCCAGTATGCTCCAGTTGTGCTCTGTAAGACCATAACTTTGCAGCCTATAATGTACAACTTTATTAGAAAAACCTGGAGTGGTGGAGGAAGGAGAAAGGGATTACCAATGAAGCAGATAAATTCAGGTAATTTCCTTGTAAAATTTTGCTGTGAATAACACAAGTAATGTTTTGGTCTTATTATAATGAACAAAGATGATCTTTGGGCCCTGTGACACCCTCTATGCTATTTTGATTATGACAGAAATTGTATTGTATTTTCTGTATTAGGTTTTTTACTACTAAATAGATAATGCAAAACCAAATGCTTTTTGTGATGAGACTAAAATGTGAGGGTGTAAAATGTGACTTCCTTAGGTGTTTGAATTCTAAATAACCTGAAATTAAATTTTTGCTGAATTTCTGTACTCTCATATAGCTCAGTATCAGACCAATTGTATTCTGCGAGGTGTAAGTTTTAATTTGAGATATGGATCATGCATAATCAGGTGGTTCCAGGACTGAGTGATGTGGTGGTTTGGGAGCCCAAAGCCTTTTTTTGGTGTGGGACATGAGATCAGAAGCAAAAAAAGAAGCTATTGTGCTGTCATTTTTCTAACAGGCCAGTGATTACAGAATAACTGGAGAGAAAGAGACATCAAAATAAAAATACCTTTGCGTATTCAAACCTGTCTCTCTTGTTAATCAAAAAATTGTCTTTCTGTGATATTGCATACTGGGCCTCCATTGCTCACAGTTCTCTGTCTTATTGGTTATGTTTTGTATAAATATAATGAATATTAAAGTTAAGCAGGTTCCAGAATACGGGTACTGCAACTTGCTGGTGAGTTTTCTTACAAAAACACTGCAGAATGTCAATTTTCTTTATCTCTGGTTATTGAGATTATTTGACATGGACTGGAACTGCTCCAAGAGAAGGTACTGTTGTAAATCTTTTCCTCCAGGTGCCCTATAGTTTGAGCAGTCTCAGTCAATGATTCTTGTCTGAGAAGATTGTGCAGAAACCTAATTTGAAAATTTAGGAGACTGTGGAAATCCCAAATGAGATTATGGAGCACTTGTCCAATGCTGCATCCTACTAGAGCAGAGGTGTCAGTTCCCATTTCCTTGGGCACTGACTGAGCTCTTCTCTTTTCTGTTCAACTTCATGTTAAGAAACAGAAAAACGCACCACCCTCACCTTTTTGAGGATTTTTTAAAGCTGACTGAAGAAATATTTTTAGTTAGTGGTTGTTTCTGTTGAAGAAAGAAATGTTGGTTCATATTTAACTGGATTCCTTTGTGTTTGAATCAGCTGCTAATATTTTCAAATTTAAGTGGAATGTCAGACTTCCTTGGAAATGTGATATGAAACTACAGGAAACATGAGAGGACACGGCCCACAGAATGAACAGAAGTCCTGTTTAATCAAAGTTTAAAAAATTCAAATGAATGGCAATCACAAATTACTTGCATTGTTATAGCATACTGCATACTAAGCTTTAATGTGGAGCATGCCTAAGGCACTATTTGAGTTAGGATTTCTTAATAAAGGCACCTCATTTGAATCAAAAAGAATATTATTTTATATATGTTTTGTTGCGAGAATTGTTATAGTGCTTTGCATTATTCTGATGTTTCTAACAGTCACACCACAGATGCACTTGGCCCTTTGCCTCTTGGATTATAGGCAAGACATAGAATGTTGTTGTTTGAAAGCTCAACTAAATCAGGCTGTTATGAATTGCTAAATGCAAGATCAAACCCATAATCCTCTTTGGACAACTGCTAGGAAAAGAAAGACAAAAAGAAAAAGCAGAACTCTCTACCATATTTTTCAGGCAGAACAGAATTTCTTGATTTTTAAAATCATGTTTTTGCTTGCTGGGTAGTGAGTTTAAGAAGCTGTTATCATTGGGAATTAAGATAATAACACTTATCAGTAGATGGGAAATGTTATTATCAGGAACGGAAAGAAAATACTTTGATATTTCTCTACAGATTCTTACCACCACTTGACATAAAAGTCTTGCCTGAGACAACATAAAACTAACAAGTATGTCTTGGAAGATAATAGTTTGAGAATTACACCACAAAAGCTTTATAGAAGATTTTTTTTTTCTGTGGTTGACTTAAGGGGCAAATGGAATCCTTTTTGAAGTACTTTGGCTCTATCACAGGTACAAAGAAAAATAAAGCAGCTTCAATGTAGACACAATTGTTTCCAGTAACAGGATGCGGATCCTTAAGATGAGAACATTATCATAACATTTCTCTAAGCAGTGATTCATTTTGGGATAATGTGCACTACACAACTAGAGGGCCGAAAATGCTTAAGAGAGCTGATATGAGTCCCTAACACAATGCCAAAATTATTAGCATTTGATTTTTTAAGCAAAGCTTCTTCATATAATAATAATGACATCTAAAGGTAATTTTTTTTCTTTATTTTTTTGTGATTGGGATTAAAGTTGTGAGTTGTTAGATACTGGGGTGTAACATAGTTGACTTTCATCAGTTCAAAAAGAAATAAAGGAGGATGAGTGAAGATTATTTTATAGGGATGTCATAACAGAGATATACTCTGGCCCTTCATTTTTCTTCTTTTTTTTTAAAGCTGAAGCTTGATGAGATCTAATGTAAATATCTTTCATATTTCTACGTGTCTTAGGGATAACTCACCACTGAGAGGTGGGATTTAGCTGAATCCAGTGAAAATGTGAACTCAGTAATCAGGATGAAAGTTCTGCAAAGGAAATACCCAAAGCCCTCTTTGGGTTTTCAGTATGTGGAGCTGTCAGTAACTCCTCCAGAGCCTCAGCTATTGCAATTTACAGTTATTCTGAGCTTCTGCAGAGTGCACCAAGCAACACTTTACTGGCCTAAGTGCACCCTGCACGTGCATGAGGATCTATTCAGAGCACTAGGCAGAGGTTTTATCTATTGGAAAAACTCCGACGAAATTTAATAAATTGTACCTGAACATTTGTGTTCTATTATTGTTGCAGAGTCTGTAGAGAAAAACGAAAGGACAGCTGTGAACACAGTTACATAGAAATAAGTTATGGAAAATACTATTATCTACTTTGTAAACTAAGGAGGAATTTATTCACCTAACCTTACGTGGATAAGCCATCTACTCCAAAAAGGTCATCTGGGATCACTGAGTGAAATAGGAGAAATAGATCCACAGGGCAATTTATTCTCCCTATGTTAACTCATCTGACAGAATAGGGACAGTTACTCTCCAGATGTGCTCATCTGTCTTCACAGACAATGGAGTAGCCTTCACTGGCAGATTGGTTTTCATGGAATGCAAAGTAAAAATATAAATAAATATTGGGAAAATTCTGGAATTTTCTTGCAGATATCAAAGACCTTTCCTCTTGCACTTTAGCCAAACATCTCTAGCCAATCATTCTCCCTCCATTTTATACCTCTTCCTCTGGGCCTTTCAATAGAGACGTGGAAACAAGATCATTGTGTTCATTTTTGCAGGAATCTTTGCAACACTGCAGACTGTTTCCATGCTATGGCCTCTGTTTGACCTTGTAATCTTTTCTGTGAGCTAACAACTCTAGTTCAGTCACACTTAAACTGGACACAACACTCACACTGAGACTTCACTGGAGCATCGAGAAGACAAATGATTATTTTGTGTCACTTTGAGAATCCACTTCTTTTCACAATTTGTGATAAATGTATTGTTTTAAGAACAATTTTCTGCATTCAGCAAATGATACTCCTTTTTACTTGAGTTTTTCATACTTACAAGATCTCAGATAATTATCAGGCTTTGCAGGTTCTGAAAAAAATTACAAACTGAGAAACTTTCCTTTTACCCTTTTACAGCACTATGAAAGTCTTTATTTGAAACTAGTTTTGCTGTATTTCCTACTATTTTGGTTTCAAAAATGGAAATCATAATCTAAAATAATAAATTCTTCTGCAGTATATGCTTATACTCTATTTTTGTGAGATTCTCTATGCTTTAGGTACTGAAGATGCTGTAATTCCTAGAAAATGTTATCCATACCTAATGCCATCTTAAATCTCAGCATTCTTCTTAACAATGTTCTTCTTCTTCTTTTCCTTTTTTTTTAGAGGGTAAAGGAAAAAAGAGAAATCCTCTTCACGACTACAAAAAAACAGGAGAGTTGGTGCTCATTAAAGTAAACAAAACACTGGAAGTAAAAACGAAGCTGTTAAATACCACAGAGCAATGTGCAAAGAGATGCAGCCGGAGCAAGGGCCTTTCCTTCACTTGCAAGTAAGTTATGTAACTCTATAGTTTGTTTTTCCCCCCCCAAGAAACATGTATAATAGCCTTTGATCTAAGATCTCTCTGTATTTGTCATCAGTGGTAGCTTGTGCCAAGAATAACCTAAAGATTGTGATTTTTGATTTCAGTGATTTTTGCTCTACCTGTCCAGAGAGTGTCAGTCTTTTCAGAGGCTTTATCTGAGTTGTTTGCTTTCTTAGCTTGTCCTCTTGTAATCTTTTCCATAATATAAGTGATGAAATGTACTCATGTTAAGATGTGAATGACTTGGGCTGCAATGCAGCATTAGGTGAGCATTTCTGAGGTTTTTATGTTTCTTATAAAATGGTTATTGTCACACATCACAGCTGCAGTATTTCAGCACCACTTCAGACCATATTCTATCTTCATTCTTTGCACATTACTCCTGCTGAAATCAATGAGAACCTCACACATGGAGCACAGATACACACACTGCTGAAGTTCACTGGCAAGTACTGCGAATCTGAGACAATGGAATCGAACCTGGGCTGTGGATAGATATCCTTCAGCATCTGCTGTCTCTTAGAAACACATCATGCAGCTGATTGCTAGTCTGCCTTGTACATATTCTCTACTATTTTTTGGAACAAATCTCTATCATTTTTCTGATGTGTGAGACTTATATGATCCCCCTGGCCTCTCTAGACCATTAGCAATCAATGAAAGGCCATGAATGCAGAAGGATCTTGGAGAGAGTGGATGACTTGAGGAGTGGAGTACTGGGCTAAATGTGAGCCAGAACTTGAAACACAAAACAGTTTTGACAATTGGTACAAATGGAAGCTAGATGAAATGTGCCAACAAAAGTTCTTGGCAGAGAAGGTTCTCAACTGTGATTAAATTCTTCTGTAAACCTTTAATTCCATTGTTGTAAAAATCTTGTTTGTATCATTCTGTACTCTGACTATTTATATATGTAAATAATGAGCAGAGCTAACTTTTTCAGATAGAAAATATTTTCCAGGCACTGACATTTTTCACATGCTACAAGCCACGCCTTTCCCTGTCAGCAGAGCTTCCATTGATGTCATTGCCAAGAGGATCAGGTTGTATTCCATACAGCAAGACATCCTTGAGTTCTGATGAGCAGCAACAAGGAGTATTGCAAAATCAAGTATCACAGTATAAAACGAATTCTGAATAATGCCAAGCAAACAACAATTCTGTATTCTAGCATCAGTTTAGAAAAACTTTCTCAAGCCACTTGTAGTTGCTCTGGTGCTAGCTTTTGTGTTCTGAAAATAAAAAAACAAGTTAATATATGTATCTATTCTCTTTTATTAAAAAATTAATCTAGAATTTCAGAATTTTTGAAATGTTTTCATGTTTTATAGATTTTTTATTTTTTGAGACAGTGTCTGATGATATCTCAAGGGGCAATTTCCCCTCTAATGAATCAATGCAAAAACAGAGGAGACATGAGGGACTTTTGAGAGTACAGCTTGGAAAAGCCCTGCTCACAGATAACAGAATGGCAATCTGTCATGCAATTACTTTGCACTAAATATGGAGAAGAATTACAGATCCTGATGATCTCTGAATTCCTGTTTTCCCTGGTGGGCTTTTAGCCCAGAAGGTGCTGAAAACCTGCTTTAGCAGTAGAGGTGTAGGTGATGAGGTCTTGCCTGTGCTACCACTGTGCACAGAGTGCATGGGATTTTCATTTCTGGGATCTCAGAACATTCTTGTGGTTTCCCTTTTGGCCCCATATGGGTCCTGTTGTAGTGAGAACTGTTCTTTGATGCTACTGTAAACACATATTTTACATGAGTTCCCTTTTAAAGGATCCAGTGTTTACTAATGTTTCCCTTTTATTCCTAGTATCCCAGTCTTTAGCTTCATATCAGCACATGGTTACTACAAGGTGAAATTTGTTGCCAATTTAAATGAAAACCAATTAGCTTCCTGCCTGCTGTGGGAGCATTCTAAAATAAGAAATAACGCAAAATGACATTTTAAATGCTTGAAATATGAGACTTGAAATTTTCTATGTTTATTGACATTTTCATGGCTTGATTCTTATACTCCGTATCCATGCAGCAGTTCTCCATCACTTGGGTCACAGCACTGATGTTTTATTTTCTGTATGAAAGCTTTATGTAAGAATTAAAAATGGAATTACTTTGTAACATAATTGTGACAATATCACTGTGAGGTACACAAGCTGAAACAGTCTTAGGTTTCTTTTTTTGCCAGAAAGTGGTAAAAGTAGCAGATTTCAGGCACTACAGACTTGTAAAGGTTCAGGTACTACTTATTTTCTGGAAGGGGAGGGAAATTAAGACAACTTTCTATTTCTTCATTATAAGTTTATGTATCATTTGCAAGTAAATTTTGAGTATTTTATTGGTTAATAATTTATCCTTGCTGGTTTTAACTCTTAACACTTTTTTGTTGAAGCTAATACATGTCACTTTTCAGAAGAGAAATTTCCTCTATTCCCTTGGTGTCATACCTGCACAGATCTTGTTCATTTCCAACTGAGTTACAAGATCCTTATCTAGACTTGTTTCTTTTTCATAATATTATTCCTAAAATCCTCCATCACAGAACTTCTTAGATTCACTTATGTTGTGTTTTTGACTCCATAAATAACTGTGCCTCTTTTTCTGCCTTCCCTATCAGTTTTATCAAGCTGCTGCTGCTGCTGAATTGTTCTATTCCTTTGTTTCACCACCGTTTGCAGTCCATTACTCCCCCTATTTTCCTACAGTCATCCTTGCAGTTTTTCCCACTAGAATTCCTATGGATGAAAAAGTCTAGATAGTTACACTATTTTATTTGCTGTACAGGTGACTTTTGCAGGTGTGTTCCTTCCTTAGCTGCAAAGTTGTCACTGTCTAATGCTTTGTTATCTGCTTGGAGTGTCTGCATTTTCACAGGAAGGGATTTCAGTATAGACAACAGAATTTCAGTAGATAAGAAAATCTACAGACTATCTCAGTGCAAAGAGAAAGAAAAAAAAATTGTTGTGATCAGTAGTATCAGTAGAAGAAAGTCCAAGAATTTGCTCAAATATGTTGACTTTGGAGGTATAAAAACCCTCCAGATTTGGGTCCAAGAAAAGATTGTTACAAACTTTTATGTGCAGAAGTGGTTGAAGCCAAACTGGAAAGAAACCAAAAGGCAACTGAAAGGCAAAAACTGAAAGAATAGTTTGTAAACAGTGCATTCTGCATTCCCACTTTAGCAGGGAGGAGCGGAAACGAGAATGCAATTGGAAAGGCAGGAAAGGTCAAGGATATTTTTGTGAGTGATGGAGTTAGAGGCACTTGGATATGCTCGAATTTGAGAATCAGCCAGAAGAGAACAGAAGGCTGCACAAGGGCAGAGGGATGAAGGTTAGCAGGTTGGAAAGATTTGGAGTCAACAGAGTAGAGAGAGCAGTTGGATGAAAAATCTGTTTGGTGATGGAAACGATAATGAAGAAGATGTTTGAAAGAGAGAAGACTGGGGAGATTGGATAGGATCTTGTAGCATTTTTAACTGAAGCCAGCAAGATATCACACGGAAAGCTTGTATGGTGAATTAAATGAAGATCAAGGAAGTTTTTGTTGAAGAACGCAGTGTTGAAGAATATGGAATAACCAAAGTATGGATGAAGTGTAAGAAATCTGTGTGACTCTTGGATATTATCAAGTAGTGTTAAAATGTCTTCTCAGATCAGAATAAAATATCTCAGAAGGTATGGGATGAGTGACAAAAATGTAGATTTTGTGGTAAGCTAGAGGAAATAATGTCAGTTATTTCTATTTGGTTCAAATGAAAAATTAAGGAAAAAACACCAGTGTAGTTTTTTTCTTCTTTTATTTTTATTTCCTTATTGGAATAACGGTTATCCCCTTCAAGGTAGTCAATTTTGGTTTTAAAATCCTTTAAAATATTTTACCTATAATTAAAGACTATTCTTTCAAAACAATTATAGGAGACAAAGATCTGCATTTTTCATTTCAAGTATCGAAAGAAAGTGTTATTACTCTGTGGATTTGTTTGTCTTTTTTGCCCTCCCCCATATCTAGTCAATTCAGCACACATCGTAGTCACTGCTAGAAAGCAGTTAAAAATAAGAGGGAAAAAAAAGCAAACCCAAAAAACCAAAAGTGAACAAGGACAAACTAGGTACACTATCGTGTAACAGTTTATTTTATTAATAAAAATAAAAATAATCTTGTTTTTAAACAGGTCTATTGTTCTAGGCAAGAAACAGATTCCTTGAGCTTGAATTTTGCTCAGTCCATCAGTGTGAGATACCTAACTATTACAGAGGAATATTGTAAGCATAGCAAAGATGATGTTTCAGTCTTCATGTTGGTTTTTTTTTTTCCCAGAGAGCAGCATAACTGAGGACACAAATGCTGTCTCAGTCACATTTATCTAAGTTTTAAAATAAAGATCTTTAATGACAAGGGAACTTTTAGATTAGTGTGAACAACCAAACTGGTATTTAATGTAATGACCACATCAATTTAATTTCTTTGTTTCTTTGCTCTTGTCAGCACAGTTGTGGGTTTAAATAGTAATTTGGACTGTTTCTCTGACTTTCCCAGTAAAAATAAATCTGATGTCATTGCATGCTCCTTGGCAGGCCATGTGTCATTATTATAAACCACACAGAGATTTTTTTCTCATCCAGATTTTCTTTGCAGGGCCTTTGCTTATGACAGAGTTACAAAACGGTGCCATTGGTTATCCTTCAACAGCTTGACAAATGGTGTGAGAAAGAAGCAAGACCATGCGTTTGATCTGTATGAAAAGAAGGGTAACTGATTTATTTACAGATTCTGTTTTTCCAGCTAGGGAGGGAGGGAGGAAAAAAAAGCCCTGAGGTCAGTCAGTGATTTTTTGGCTAGGAACATCCTGAGCATGGATGCTTTTATGCATTTTGAAAGCTGCATCCTACAGTTTTATTTACACGTATCCTGAGTTTGCTGTCATGCAAATTTGTCTAGATACATGCTGTTGATCAGTTTTCCAATCTACATATTTGCCTACCATCATACATACTAGTTACAGTTTTGTCCTTCACTTTACTACTGAGTAGCTCAGTTGTATGAACTACCATTTATTACTTAATATTGCTCTTATTTACCTCATTAATGAGTAGGATACTCAAGTCCTCAGACATGGAGTTTTGTTCAGTCAGATATGTACATTGAAAACATTTTCAGGATTTTTTTTTTGGGGGTCAGATAGTGATCAATATTTGGAAGAAAAAAAGAGATGTACGTCAACAAATACACAGTATTTTGAAGAATTAAGTATGTAAAGGCAAATAAATATGTTACTTTTATGTGACAGTTGATGAGCTTTGATTTTGCATACATTAACCAAATCCATTATTTTCTTGTCTTTTATTTCAATAGATTATGTCAGAAATTGTATCATTGGAAAAGGAGCAGACTATAAAGGAACAATATCTGTTACCAAAAGTGGTATCCCGTGTCAGGCCTGGAATTCAATGATCCCCCATGAGCACAGGTAAGAGTTCAGGAGCAGAGACAATGGGAATAGTGCCCAGACAGCTTCCATAAAGCATAAAGCATTTTTCATGGGAAAACTAACTTTAGACAACAAAATCTCTTAGGTATATTCTTGCCTTTTTCCAAGAGATGCCATTCTCCAGATCCCAGAAAATCTGTATCTTGGACTTTCTCCAAAAAGGTCTCTCCTAATGCCAGCCTGTGTGTCTGTATCTCTTTCTTTCCTGTGTTTTTTGGGTTTTTTAGCTGTTTATATCCTTTTGATCTCTTAGCTACTGGCAGAAAGAAAACATCTGCATTATTTCAGCCTAGGGTCTGGAAGTTTATCACAGTTTTCTAATTGACTACCAAGGAATGAGCAATTTTGAAAACGACATTGATAGGAAGCAGGGGAATATTAGGCCACCTGTTTGCTTAGTGTATAATATTGTTAGTGTATTTTGCATAGGTACTGTCAATTCTCTGTTATTTATAGAATATGTTAAACTCTATGGAGCACTTAGGCCAGGCAACAAATCCATGGAAAGGACTGAAGAGGCTTTTGAAATCCTTCCTTTCAGATCATACAAGCAATAAGTAAAGACTGAGGGAGCATGTATAGGACTTATCTTTTCATATTAGGACCTGGTAAAGTGAGAAACTGAGGCTAAACCTATACCTTGAGAGTAAATCTAGTTGAACTCTATTGGCTAAGGAAAAAGAGAAGAAAGCCAAAACCTGAAGCCAGTAAGAGTAATGGTAAAAAGAGATTCATCACCAGCAAATGCTCTCAAAAATCAGTAAAAGGACTACAAAGTACTGATCTACCATTCCTCTTTAAACATTTAACCATTCCTCTTTAAACATTTTTGTACTGCTTTTAGCCATGTAGATAATAAAACTTCAAGAGCCAAAACCAAAATGTCCTTCCACCCATAAGCTTGCTGTCCACATTGCTGCCTTTTGCTCCAGACTCCCAGGGCCAGCAATTTGTTTAGGAGGAGCCAAACTGGAGATTGCTGGTGAGGAACTGGGCTCTGCACTGCTCAGTCCTGTCCTGACCAAATCAATCCAGTGTGCAAGAGGATATCTTGGAACAACATTAAAAGACAAAGGATAGTTGAGTTCTGTCCTCTTATGATGTGTTACAAAGCTGAGCCTCAGGCTTGGACTTACTGGACTTGGCTCTTACAGTATAGACGGCAGTGTCTGCTTTTTAGTTTGGGACCAGACCTGCTGTTAACTGGGAATATACCATAAATACCACCAGATCCCAAAGCAATGACTTCTTGAGACTCAACACCTTGAAGTATACGTCTTCATTTTTCAGAAGTGAAAGAATTCTAAATCATTATAAATTAAGCAAAAATGAGTATTTATTCTACATAATATACAGGTGACTTTATATAATTAGAGAAAGGAAAGCATCTGGATAGCACAAATTTTCACTAAATTGCATTTTAATATGCATCATACACAGTTTTATCACATACACAGTTTTATCCAATGCCTTTGGACAGCCACTCTTGTATGATGAATTTTATGAGAGTGACTCTTCTCCTGCCTTGTGCAATAAGTTTAATTTTTCAAAGGTCACCGGATAAATGAGGTGGCTGCATGCTAATTTTGTTTTTCAACATCAGAAAATATGATTTCATCATCAGAGACATGAAGGAGGTGGGAAGAAACAGACAGTAGTGGTGTGTTTGGAACTTATTAGTACAAAAAGACAGCTTTTTAGGTCAGTTTTTCTCAACAGCTGATTATCACAATGTGACATTGAAAAATAAATCCCTTTTTCATATTTAAGGGAGAAATGTATTTTAATGCTTTTTAATTACATTTCTAGGAAGAATTGAAATAACTTGAACATTTAAACTTCTGATTCAATCTAATAAGTCATATTTTTATTTATTTTTATGCCATCAGAGCACAGAGATTCCCAGCAAAACCCTGCATTCTATGATTATCATCTCCATCCTAGCACAGATTTTAAGACTCTTACAGAGTTTTAAATTAAAAAATCCAATGTAAAAAGTTCTCAAAGAGAAATGGTCAAAGAAAGACCAGTGCTTCACAGGCTTTTGGCTATTTTCCATGGCTTTTGTGTGGTTGAATCTGTTTTTACCATTACTTTTACTGGCTTCAGTTTTTGGCTTTTTTTCTTTTTTTCCTTACCTAATGTAGATGAAGGAAATCATCAGTTTTAGGAGTGTCCCTTTCTTCCATTTCTGGGTAGATGTCTACAGCAACTCATCTTTTCCTCTCTCAAGAATGTTGCTTCAGTACCTGTTGAAGCCATTTGTACATCTCACCCATCTTACTTCTCATTTAGACTTTTCAGTGCTACTCATTTAGACTTTTTCTTTTTTTAGTGCTCTCACAGCATAGCTTATTTAAGTTGACTTTTCCCTATATTTTCTAATGAGCAGAAAAGTTAAATATAATATTCTAATATGCACTGACATACCACTTTAACACATATGCAGGTTGGAATGTCCCATCAAAAATACTTGCCTGGGGGTGTTCAATTAAAAAAAAAGTTTAAGATACTTTCATCATAAGACTACAGAGGAAAAACAGAAACACCAATTTTATAGGCAGCAGGAATGACATAAAAATTAATCTCTTCAAGCACCAAAAATAAAAAATCACCTCTAGGTAATGCGTCCACATTGCATTGACTAGAATCACAGTGTGATTAAAAGAGTTATTTTTCACTTCAGTTAGTTCAAATATTTCATTAATAGGAATAAATCTTGAATAAAATGTCACTTCAAAATTTTCTTCTTGTTTCTCTCTCAAACCACTCAAAATAAAGTATTAGATATTTTCACAATAAAAGGTGCATTATTTATATTTCCACCAAAACTTAAATTCTGATAAAAAAGGAACATATCTTATAAATTTAAAAATGAAATAAATTAATTGAGTTCAGTCACAAGTTTTATGTAATCCTCTATGTAGTTAGCCCAGTATTTCAATTAACAAAAAAGCTTTCATGAGACAGATCTCTGATTTTAAAGTGTTTTGTAACTCCAGAGATTTAGCTGATGTTTAGCATCATTGCAGTGTAACTGCTAGAGAAATGCCGCTGGCTGGGTCTGCAATGGGCAGCCTGAATATGCTCATGAGCTGCTGAAGTGGCATTGAACAGACCAGTTCTGAGGTTGGGTTCCTTAGCTGTTCCTTATTTTGTGGGGTAAATAAGCTAGCATTACTTTTATGTCTAAATATTTATATATCTCTACATAAAGTGCGTGTGTGTCACTGTGTGTGACATGGTTTATCTAGGTTTAAGCACATACGTTTACAGATACCTGAGAAGAAAACACCTTGACCCTGGACATTTTAAGTCAGCTGGGCTGCTTTTAGGTGTCTGAACATACACAATGCAACTATGAGTGAGTCTGTAAATAGCAGATCCTAAGGTGAGAACAGTGGGGCTTGAGGCAGAACATGAAAGAACCCAGCTAAAATGGCACCTGGGGAAATCTCTTGTGTTGAAATGCAAAGCAGGCCCTGGTTTCAGGCAGTGAAAACCTCTCAGTGAGGTGTAGCACAGACTCGGTCACACCTGCATGACGCTGGTGATCAGTTCTTGCTGCTGCCTAACCAGGGATGCAAAGAGGTTTCTCTGCTTGTGGGTTTCACATAGCAGGTGATCTCTGAGCCCAGCTGGACCTTCTGTATGTGCCAACATGCACAGGTAAGACAAGTCTCACCTGGCTGCAGACCCAACCAACCCCTATGCACCCAGAGCTCCTGAAGGAGAATACAGTGCAGGCTGGCAGGGAGTGTGTGACTGCCTCTGGCTCTGCCCTAGATAGCTGGTTCTGGACAGCTGAGGGATGGGAGTAAAACTCTCTAGAGCACGCTATGGGCTAGACAAATTGTCCCAGATTTAGGCCATTTAGGTTGAGCAATCCCAACTGAAGATGTGTATTTGTGTACGGACAGATATTTGGGTGTGTGCATTTGCTTAGGCAGGGTGGAGGGAGAAGGAAGCAGAAATGTGATTGTTTCTAACTGTTTGTAAAAATAGTATGATTAACCCCAACATTTGCATGCTCTTATACTGTAATGATTGTCATTTTAAAACTAGCTTTTTGCCTTCGAGCTATCGGGGAAAAGACCTGAGGGAAAACTACTGTCGAAACCCCCGAGGGGAAGAGGGAGGTCCCTGGTGTTTCACCACCAGCCCAGAGATGCGCCACGAAGTTTGTGACATCCCCCTCTGCTCAGAAGGTAACCCAGCACAGCTTCTGCAGAAAGCTGCCTCTGACAGCAGCTGCACAGAGCTCCCAGTAATCACTTGGTCACTGCCTTTCGAGAAAGAACAGGTGATTTCTGAGCAAAATCACCCGTATAGGAAGAAAAGAGGTTGTTAGAGGAAGAGCAGTTCTTGTGATGTTCCAGCGTGCTGGAAGGTTTCAGGCTCAGCAGCTTTTTTCAGATTATGGAGGAGCTTGAACAATTAAGTTGTGCTGATCACAGAAATGAGATCCTTTTTTTCTGCTTGTCTAGTCCGTAGTGAATCCATTAAAAATTTCAGTATAGCCATGTGATAAAATCATCTAGTTCCATTCCATGGTAAAATCTGCTTTACATCTTTTTTTCTGATGAAAATATAGATACTGGATTACAAGATGAAAGCTTAAGATAAGCATGCATTTTGCTTTTTGAATAAATACTGTAAATAAGTATAACTCTTTGCAAATCCAACCTCATTTGACTTTCAAGTCACAGAATTTGAAAGACACTTATATGCACCATTGCATTTGTTGACTTTTAAGTTCTGTTAACCTCCAAAATTAGCTCTTATATCTTGCTAATAAGCCAATTCAGTTCCAGTCAAACAACCTATTTAAATCTTCAAGATAGGATGCCTTTAATTTTCCTGCTCACATGTCACATGCAATAGCTAAACTGTCCTTAGGAAAGGAAGAGGGAGGGAGAGAGGAAGGGAGGGAGGAAGAGAAGGAGGAGAGAACAATTTACACAGAGTTTGAGAATTATTAAAATCCATCATTTAAAGACAAACTTCTGTGAACTTCAAATGACATATTTGACCTGGAGCTCACTTTAGGATGAAGACTTTGGTAGCTGATGTTTTGTGATATTTGTAATTCCATAAAATAGTATTTTCTAAATGAGCCTTCCTTACCATTACTCCAACTGGGGAATATTTGAGAAGTTTGCCTACAGTTAATTCTGGTGAATTTGTTTTATATTTTCAGACCTTTCATTCTAAATTTTGTTCAGCAATGCTTTCAAATTCCTTTGGTAACTTTTGCCCATTCTCCCTTCATGCCTCCTACCCACTTTCCCAAACCAGGACTGAAAATGTACATCAGTTTAAGCTGCCCAAACTATTATCATCAAAAAGATACAATATAATATGTAGCTGAAAGTGCTGGGTGTATAAAGAGATTGTATTGCACTGAAATTGGAATTCCTCCAATATTCTGCACTTAATCTTGTCTTGTAATTACACTACGATTTGGAGAGGTTTAGAAAAATACATGGTTTTTCATTTGATAGTGCCACCTTAAAAAAGACTTCTTCCTTAGCTATGTGTCTCTCTCTCTCTCAGTAACCATAAGTAAGGTTAGTAACAGACTGATAGGAACATGAATGCTTCTAGTAGCTCCCCTCTATCTGCTTCAAAACTTGTAAGTGTCCTATAAAGTGATGTCAAATTTAAGCACCTGGATTAGGTGCTTAAATCCAATTATATTCCAAAGGCCATTACACATACCAACCCAACAGAAAGATAGCATTTTAAATACTTCTTTAGGATGGTATCATGATATAAGAGCAGGGACACTTTGGATTTTTTTTGTTGTTGCTGTTGATTTCTTTGGTTTTGGGGGGGGGTTGGCTTGTTTTGGTTTGGGATTTTTTATGATATAAGTCATCAGTGTAACAAATAACTAGTGTCTATTTTTTCCTAGTTGAATGCATGACCTGCAATGGAGAGAGTTATAGAGGGCCAATGGATCACACCGAGACAGGCAAGGAGTGTCAGCGCTGGGATCTTCAGAGACCACACAAGCACAAATTTCGTCCAGAGAGGTAACCTCTCCTCCCCTCCCAAGCAAGACCATGTGGTCATAATTTGAAAATTGCACACATTCTGGAACCAGTTGAACAAAACTAGCATTAGCTCAACTGAAATGTATGGAGTTCACCAGTTTAAGATTCTTGGGCTCCTGGCCCGTGGTGTAGGCTGGCTACTGACACAGTAGAGATGCAGGGTGGAGAGTAGAGCTTGTTTTGTGCAGTCCTGGTTACATCCCGTGCTCGACTAGTGTACCAATGCTGCTACTGATTGATCAAAAATTCCTCCCTAGTTCATTGACAGTAAATAAATAACCTCTGAATATTTATATATATATTCGTATGCAGCTGCAGTTAGCTTAAATACCTTAATCATATAGTAAATAATGATTTAAAGTCATAAATTTTTGTTAGATTTCTTAACAAAAGTAATGAATATAAACTTCCAATATTGTCAAATAACATTATCTTCCCTTTTGCAATATTGAACAGCTTTAAAGCTATAGGTGACCTTCCATTATATTCCCATTTAAGTATCCAATTTGTTTGAACAAACTGTTTGCCCCCTACATCTGTTTATTCACTCTTGGAAAGGATTTAATCATTCGGTTTAGCATTTTATGAGCATGGATTTCTTTATTAGGCTTTATCTTTCTTTTTTTTTTTTTTTTTTTTTTTTTTTTTAATTTAGGCACTAATTCACAGTGCCAAAAATTGAGTCAGAAATAGCAAGACAAATTTCATCTCTGTTAGGATTTGTCCAACAGGGCCAAATTCACCCAACTACAAAGGGTCATCAATAATACACACTTCTGAAAGTGTTGTGGGAGTGAAGGAGTGGGCATGGGTTAGACCACACAGAAGGGGATCCCTGTTCATCTCAAACTAGATTGCAGTTTAATTTTAGTTTTATTCTGGATTTTGGATTAACTCCATTTATATATTGTTTTGAATAAACTTAGACTTCCACATGAAGCCTACAAGAATCAACAAAATCAGAATGATTAAGACCTTCCACTGAAAGTATCTTTTTGTATGTTAAAGTGTTTCACCAAATAAAGCATTATATTTATTCTAAGAAATATGGGTACTGGTAGATTTTAGGAAACCTGATTATTCAGCAAAATATTGAGGATCTGCAGTTTTGGAGCTTATGTGGTATAATCTGTTTTTTTTCCTTGGCTTGGATGATCTGCTTCATGAATAATAGCAGGCTATCCCATTGTTCTTCCACAGTAAATATTCTGTATTAGCAGAGTGGGACTGAAGATAATCTGTTTCTGAGTTTTGCCATGCACTTACTGTGCATTCTAGAATAAGTCACAGAAACAGTTTTGTTCCTTGGGAGTGAAACGTTTATAGAACTCCTGGGTACAAACAATAATAATTTTACTGTCAGGAGGAAATTTCTTTTTTTTCCATTAATATCTGATTGTTTGCAAAATGACTTTTCAGACTAACCACAGTCTTTCGAACAATTGTCTTCCTCTTTGAAATAATTCCTTCTGAGAACATCTTCTTGGGAGTTTTCAGGCAGTAATAAAGTACATTTTTTTAAAATCAAAAAGAAACCCCTCCAGACTGAACTGACCTGTATGGGCTTTCAGAAGAGTAATGTAGTCCAGCGTTTTTCTGATATACTGAATGTTAATTAGCTCTGTGAATGGTCACTAAAAGTAACATTGATTATACTACATTTTTTAAATGTTGAAGGTTTTGGTTTGCTGGGGTTTTGTTTTCATAGTCATGTAAGTTGAAAATAAGAGAAAAGGTCCGAAAAAAATGACCCATTTAAATACAGCAGTCTCTAGAGACACAGTATATCATCCAGGTGTAATGTAAATAACCTGGAAACCAGGAAGGATTATCTGGACATATTTAAACTTATTTTCACTTATGGCTTCATCAGTTGCAATGATGAAGAAAAGGAATAAAGGTAATCTTTCCAAATGCACTAGTCTGTGTGCTGTTGGACAGTGCTTTTGGCTCAGGGTAAATACAACTCACTCTTGTGTCACCTCAGTGAATTGTTCCACATTTGCTTCCCTCAGAAGTTACTGAAGATGCTTTACTGTCTGCTTAGATGTGATTGAAGCGAGCAGATGGAATCCCCCAAGCAGCTCCTTCATGGCCCATTTTTAGCTATTAGTGGGTGCAGAATTTTATTCTGAAACTCCATTTCTCTTGTGTACTTCTCACAGGCACAGTTATGCCTCAGGATGGAAGGAAGACCACTGAGGATAATGTCTTGGTGTCTTGGGCATAGAGCAGCATAAGGGGGGAAAAAGTATTTTGTTCTTTTCTGCTCAAACCCAAACATCCTGTGAAAATATTTGTTACATGGAGGAAAGTACAGTTGAAACGTATCACAGGAGGTGAATAACTGCAGATATCCTTTTATTAGTACCTGGTTTATATCTCTTGTATGAAAATTTGCTTAATAAAAAATTAAGTTTCCAGTCATACATATCTAAAAAAAAACCAAAAAAAAACCCAAAAAACCCAAAAACCAGAGAAAACCCCAAACAAACACACACACACACACACACACACACACACACACACACAAACCCAACAAACAAAAAAACCCAAACAAAACAAAAAGAAAAAAAAAAAAGAGGAAAATAAATATTGGTGAAGAGCTTTAGATACTAAGTTTTATTTTATTTCCTGGAGAGCTGGAGATCAGCATCTGTCTCTTTAAAAATAATACTTTTTTTTCCTTTGGCTAATATTTTTCTCCCTTTTCTTTAGAAACTAAGATAAAGTCTTGATTTTGACACCAGATACATATCTTGACGCTTTATTTCAGTTCTGTCAGTGAAGTACAGCTACTGCTGTTTCAAGGGGGGAAAAACAGAAATATATAGCGTTCTGGAAGATCTCTGACACCTCAGACTCTTTCTTAGGTTTAAGAAAAAGGTCTGTGCTCAAATGTACTGGGGAAGGAGGAGTGTGCATGACAAAGACACAGCTCTCAGGGGATCCTGCATAGCCTCACTGTTGAATTGTGTAGAACAGTTTGAAGCTCCATTATTTCTCTTATTACTAATATTTGTTTCTTAAAGGTATTAGTTTAAGGCCTCTTAAAGGCCTTTTTTATAGCAATTATAGCTTGCTGGGTATGAAGGAAGGCAGAAGCCTCTCTGGATATTGGGGGAAGAACCACTGACTAGGAAGTCTAGTTCTTCTTTAGAAAAGGACAAGTAGAAGTAGTAGGTGAAAAGATATGGCTCACAGGCACTACTTTATCTCATGAAAACACTCAGAGCTTGATCCTGGAAGAATATCTCTGCCTAAGTTTTAATTAGTAAATAACACATTTTTGATATACTGTGGGAACATAACATATAATCTCAGGAAGGATGGAGCTTTCAGAGCAAGGACAGACATTTGTATTCTAGAACATGGATTCTTCCATCAAGAGCTGCCTTGAATGCTTTTTGTGACTGTGACTGCAGATACTTTGCCATTCCTGGACTCACCTTGGTTCTTGGGTGGTAACATGCACTTTCCACGCTATTTGACATGGAATATGTTCAGCCAGCATCAAGGCTCATCACTGCACCTACTGGGAGGCCAAACCCATACCATTTTCTTCTGTATTATTAGCCCATTAACTATTTTTTTGGGAAATCCTTGGACACAACTTGCTCTTTACAGTTTTACACCTAGCATAAAACAGGGTACTGCTGCTAGATCTGAAATTACCACATTCTTAACTGCCATTGAAGTCTCAGTTTGGTGAGGTTTCTCCTTGGTCGTTTTGTTGTCATTTTGTTTTGTTTTGTTGTAATTTTGTTTTGTTTTATTTTTTAAATTCTGCTTAAATCTTATCCTTGTCCCTTGTATAGTTGAAGTAACCTAACTTTTCCTGAGAAATGGGAGATCAAGTTGCAAATGAGTCAAAATTAGCATGATCATTTGACAGAAAAAGTATCCTAGCAAAAACATCCACTTGTAAATCATATTTTCATCTGCTTGTGTGAAACACATCTGCTTGCAGTTGTAAATGGATTCAGGTTCCCAGGTAGTTAACTTCATTGTTCTCTTACATACTTTTCATGTTTCCCTCAGAGGCAAATCTACTTTTTGTTTCTTTTGCAAACATATTTCAATGAAACTGAAAGGCCAAGAAAATTTGTATTCACTAAAGAAAAAAAAAAAAAAAAGCAAAACCAAAAACTTGATGCATTTATTTCCTTCAAGTTTACAGATGTTAGTATCATGTATTTATACAAAAAACCCCTACATATTTTGGATATCTGTCTGATTGTCAATGATGGCTGTAGGAATGTAGAAACACATAAATATAACACATTATTATCAAGTCTTAATGAGATAAAGTGAGATGGAAGTTATTTCCTTATTTTTCTCCTTCTTTCTCCCAATGCTTGAAATGAGGGCATGACCAAAAATGAGCTCTGTTACAAAAATGGAGCTATCATTAGTAGCATAGCTACTCAAAATAGCTTCCAGTTTGAACCTAAGGCTGTTGCACTGAAGAACCTGTTTTCTTAATGAGTCCGGCATGGCAGGCAGTATTCAGGTAATCCACATTTAATTGATCTGTTTCAAAACAAATGAGTGGCCTAAGTGTCTGGTCATTGGTTGACAGACACAAGAGCAAGAGTTTAGCAATTAGTGGAGTTAGCCTATCCGGTACCCTGTGCATTAGCACAGCAGGGAGGCCCCTCAGTGGAGGTCTGATCCTGCTGCAGGTTTGGAAAGTGTTTATATGTTATTAACTTTCTAACAGCGTTAAAAGCGTTTTCGCATCCATCCTACAGGATCAGACCCAAGGTTAATAGGAACCAGTTCTTGTTTGCCTCTGCTGAAGTCTGTCCTTTAAGTACCTTGTAGAAGGCAGTGCAGTATTGCCAGGAAGACTTCCCTGACACGTTTCTCATTGTGGTTTGCAGATATCCTGACAAGGGCTTTGATGATAATTACTGCCGCAATCCTGATGGCAAGCTGAGACCATGGTGCTACACTCTTGACCCTAACACCCCCTGGGAGTTCTGTGCAATTAAAATGTGTGGTGAGTTCAAGCAAAATTTATTACTTCCTTTTCCTTTCCAAATTCTGGACACAGATATTTCAGGCAGTGTAGGACCACCACTAGTTCATTCATTGTCCTTCACTGGATTTTAAAACATAGCTTTCAAAGAGGGTCTCCTATAAACACTTTATATTTAGTCTGGATAGGAAAGAAGAGTTGTGTGTTACTTACCACTGTAATATGTGTACGTCTTATGTACTGTAAATTGCATTAAAATATACGAAAATCAAGAACTAAAAGTGAGGCAGCAAAATAATGAGGATCCCATATACAGTATTAGTTTGGCCATGTTTGACATTTACATTCTCATCTGAGAGTATCAAATATCATTTGGTGTGCACACACAATTTCCCCTCAGTGTCCTCTGCTAACAACTTGACTGCTTTGCAGTTCTAGGCCTTGGGTCCTGCACGTTATTCACTCTTGTGCTGAAGATAGAATTATTAATTTCCTCATGGGTCTCTCTGTGTTATTCAGCACTCTGTATCAAAGCAGTCCACAGGCAATTAATTTCTTTACAGCTATCATCTACAAGATGGTGGCATTTGTTAACCACACTTTAGAGACAAGGAATTGAATCAAAGTGACATGGAGGTGCACAGTTATTGGATACTGACTTTGACAGCTCTTGTTTAGCCTTTTAGAGATTACTGCAGCATGTTATGTCTACAAAGCTCAGATCATTGCAACTTTGGTGATAGCTGTGATAGGTCAATTTTACTGATAATTAGGTGTCTTAAATGAGAAATAAGAGGACAATGAGGAAGGTAAAACTCTTGGATATTCCTTGAAAACTTGCGCAAAGCAATTTTTCTAGACTTTCATGGTAATTCTGGGGCTATGGCAGATGGTAGAATCAGTTTTGTGGAGACATGCTTTAAATATTGGGATGAGCGGTGGGGAAGAGGTAATAGCTCTCACATGAAACTTTTCTTGTGAGCAGTTGCTGTCTAAAGAGGGATTCTCCACCTTCACTCAGAATTCTTATCAAATAAATTATGCTGTGTTTTCTGCCTGAATCACCAATAATTCAGAATTTTCTCTCCTTGGCTGTTCATAGCTTAGGCCAATTCTGATATCTTGGAGATTCAGTCTGGTCGAATCAATTTGTCAATTTTTGAAATTCAGGTGTTGAGTAAGAATATTCCGTACCTCTTGATGTCGAGTAATTTAACTTATCCTATCTTATTTCATTGTAATTCCAGTATTACAAGGTAGTTAAATTATCGAAATTATTCTACTGTGAAAAAGGCAAAGTTATTTTGTTACTTTGGGCAATGTCTAATCAGGCTCTCCAGAGACAGAAGAAACTTGGCAGGATGGCTGCTTGTTTTGGGTCAGGCACCCAGTAACTCACACCCATGTTGAAAGTCTTACCTGTGAACTACAGGACCAATTCATGTCTTTGTATCTAGACTTACTGATGATCTTTGATAAAAGGAAAAACTCAGACTTCCTTCTTTGTGAACAGAGATTGCTTAGCTGTGCAACTGAATCATCTTTCAATTTTTTCGTTACTCCATTAAGGAGCTGTTGCTTTGGATTTTTGGCCTGTGTTGGTTTGGGTTTTGCTTTGGTTTGTGGTTTGTTTTTTTTAAACTAAACTGTGCTTCCTACACTTCTCCAATTATTAGATAACGTATGAATCATGTGTTGCATACTAGAACTGTTCTTTTCCCCTGGTAAATATGCTACTATTATGAAAAAGTATTCCTAAGTTACAGCTGACTGTTTCACAAATGCAACTTTTATAAACCTTTATCCTTTGGCATTTCCTGAGCTGATGTGTCAGTGTTCTGAGGATTCACATCTGGCTTTGTTGGTCACGTAAGCTTACGCCCCATGCAACTTCCAGTATCTAGCAGCCTAATAAAATAGCTGGGTGGGAGATCTCCTGGAAACCACTGGATTATCACCTTTGTCTACCAAATCATAGTAGAGCCCTAAAGAAAAGGTAAAGAGCAAAATGAAAATAAAAACAACACCAAAACACAGTGTAATGATTTTCATATTGTGATGAAAGCCTTTTGTCTCATTTCTAGGCAAAAGTTCACTGAAGGAACTAGAAATTCTTTCCTTCAGTTAGAAACTATATTAAAATCAGTAGAAATGTCACATGTAAAACTGTATTTTCCCCACAGAATACTGTATCTCTTTTGAAATTAATAAGGCAATCTACATGAGAAAAAAAATACAAAAGTAAGGGTCTTGAAAGCTTAATCCAGCAGATATTTTCAAAGAGTTTTTCTCACAGGCATATAACATTGCCCTCTATGCAAGATGCAGTGGTGCTCAACGCTTTCCTTTATAGCCCAATGAGGGAATTTATTGCTGATGCTACTGTTAAATCACCATCTTGATGGCCAGAATACTAAAAGAAAATATCAAACCCCTGTTTTCAGTTTTCTGTCTTTCTTGAGGCTCATAAAAAAACTGTTTTCCCACCTCCTAGCAGGGAGCCCAAAACACTTGGCTATTCTGGGTTTCGGTGGCTGCTCTGTGTTTCTGATGCTGGGGCTGTTTGCAATCTCAGAACACTAAAAAGAGAACATCATGAGTTATAGGTCTTTATAGCTTTGTGGTTTGGATTCTCACACAGGTTTTTAATTCATATGCTGAGGACTGTTTATTTAATTTACAAGAAATACTAATTAGGAAAAATGCTTTGCAAATCCAAGTCCTTGGACCGTATACAAAAATGTAGGTGTCCTCTCTTTGGGGAGTGACCACAAGGCAGCATGCTGCTTGTGGCTTTTGCTACATGCCGTGAGTGCTAGTCTGCTCTATAGCCAAAACGCTGACAACAGCTCATATACAAAATTTTCGGCAAAAAAGTTGGTGGAAGGAAGCATTTAGAAAATAAATATGGTTTTAAGACTGAAGAGAGAGAGAGGGCATTGTAGTTTTACTTCCAAGGACAGAATGCAGCATAAAACATTGTGGCTTGCAGCCAGGGCTGTGAGAAAGAGATGACAGGAGCAATTAGGAATTAGAGATGGCTCAAGCTGCAAAAACTGGATTTGGATTAAGACTTTGGGGACCCCAAGACTGGTTTGAAGTTGCTCACATATGTGTCTGTGGTTTTGGCTTCAGACAATTTTTAGTTAGAAGAGAGGATAAAAGGACAACTAACAGCAATGAAGAAGTCTAGGATGAAATGAAGAAATGGAAGCAGTGCCAGCAAACATGAAAAAGGAAAATGACTGTTATTTTGGCATGAATGAGAACACTGACTACAGGAAAGACAGGAGTAGGGAACTAATACTGTTTAAAAAAACCCAAACAGGTAGCAGTTCCTTTCAGGATGAGCTCTAGACAGGTGCTGGGGCTTATAAAGGAAGATACATATATCAGTCATTTGAGATCTGCAGAGTTTTTTTGAATTGCTGTGTTAAGCACAGTGTCTCATTGATGCCTACTGGATGTTCAGCCCCACCCAGATGCCTTTTCTGTGGATTTAGCCTTTGCCACCAGTAGTGACTGACAGTAGTCAAGGGTTACCAGAGCCTGAAAAGCCTTGAGAAAATTCAATAAAGGCCTCTGCTTGATGGGAAAGAACAAGTAATGAAACACCAAAATTGAGAACCTAGATCTAAGATGAATTGTTGCAGTGTGCCCACAGTTTTTGGGAATGCAAAAGCCCACCATTATTAAATTACTATTTCTTTAGAAACAGAGATTTCAACTGTCCATTTGAATGCAGAGTTCTGATTAAAGAGTTATTTGTTGAATCATTATATGTAAACAAATAAAAGTTAGACTCATTTAAGGTTAATATTTGTGTAAGATAAAAATGTTTATAGGAAGGATGCAGTGAAAAGAAGCTGATATTTAGTAGCTGATAAAGTGTTACCTTCCATCTTGGTTTACAAGGAGACAAAGAATAGGTCCAGTATTCACTGTTTATACAACAGCTTAATCCATATTTCCTCAAAAAGGATCTTTCTCAAATCCTTTTCATCATTTCTATGATAATTTGAAAGTGAAATATAAGAACTCTAAATGTAAGGAGATTTTTTTTTTCTGATAGATTTTAATTTTTTTTTTTTAATTTAAAGCCTTATTGTAGACACTGGAAAAGCCTGGAAAGATCTCTCTGTGCTTATGGACAAATTAATCATATCTGTGAAGGTTTTAAGTGACAATGAGTTTTTCAGTACTGTGACATTCTTGAGCTTGGCTATAATTGATTTCTTCACTTTCTCATATGTTTTTACTGAAAAAAAACCCAAAGCACTGAAAATCAGTGGGGTTTTCTTGCATTCTTGTACTGAGTCATGGTACATTGAAGAAAATGTGGAAAGGAAGGAGCTGCCACTAAACTAGTGCCCAGAACTGTAAAAGCCATTGCTAAAGGAAGGGATGCCTGAAAGCAATGTGACTGAGCATGAGCAGCTTCAACACTTCACTCAGCTTTCTTACTAACTTTTGTATGGATCATGTTTAGAATCGACTTTTAAAATTGTTTTGTTACAAATCAGGGCACATTTTCCTTCTGTTGACTGACACTGTAAAAGAGAAATTCCATGAATATAAGCAAGAACAGGTATTTTCCTCGTGATATAATTTAGACCTCTACTTCTTTTCCAACTATGTCTTTTTCCACAAATACATCGGTTGTATTGTCATGAAGGACCATGCACTCTCCATCAAAATCTCTTCCTTCTTTTAAGTCAGTATGATTCTCACCATTGACCTAAAGTTTGTGCAGGATTTTCTTCTGGTTCATTAAAGTCAGAAATAGTATCTAGCTGGTTACTTCAGCTGTGACTCAAGGCCCCCGTGATTCCCTCATGCTGGAATTGCTGTGAGAACCAGAACTGAGACTATCTGTGGCTTTACACATAGGACTCTGGATAATATTTCATCTTTTTACTTAAGCATCTCTGAATGCATGAGTTGCCCCATATTAATAAAGTTATGTATTTTGAAGTATCAAAAAAAGAAGGGTTTTACAGAAAAAAAAAAAAAAGATATCTTTGCATTATTACCCTTTGGCTAGGAACTTTAGAGTGAACATGTGAAGGTAGAATTTACTAATGGGAAATCCCCTCATGTGGCTGTCTGAACTACGTGTTTAATCTTAGTCATCCAGAATTTAAAAAAGAAAAAAAAACAAAAACCACAAAGTTCAAAAGTATAAAGTTCAAAAATGCTGCTAACAATTACCAAATTCTTCTGTTCATAATAAACTTTCCTACAGGAGTAAGAAGTGACACTCAATCCACAAATTATAAATAGGAGTCTTTTATAAGGTGGTATTTTGTGTGATCTTTCTTTAACAGTACTTTTAATCTCAGTTCAGAACTAAAAAATATTGAACTGAAGAAAAAAAATCCTGAGAATTTCTATTATGAAATATTAGTAAGTATTGCAAAGTAAGGATTTCTTGTTGATTTAAAATTAATCCAGTTAAATTAATATTGTCCTCCTCATTGGAACAATCCTTTGGATTTTCAGATCTTAATTTATATTTTTGATAATTTACTGGGATAAGGACGGGAATTCAATTTTATAGATTTTGATCTTGATCTTGATTTTGCCTTGTAAGAGAACTGGTGAGTGCAGTCCTAGGGCTCTTTCACCAATGCTCTGCACATCTGATGTTCATGCTCAGAGTTATTAAATTTAGTTAATTTGGTATGTCAGTGATGAGTAATTAGCCTCAACAACAAGACCAGTACTGAATGGAGACGACTGTGTAAGTTATAGGCTTGGACAGCCTGGGCACTTCTCAGTTTGGCAAGTGCTGCAAAATCTGCAGTGTCTGGTGAGGCAGGCACTGCTCCTCAAGCTCTTGCCTGCTCCTGTGCACATCCAGCCCAACTTTCATTAACAGGAATAGGGAGACTGTTCCCATCATGCCTGTTTGTGGAATCGACAGATGAATGAAGGATTTCTCAAGCCTTTATTGGTAAGTTCTGAGCTTTCTGTGAGACTCAATAGCAGGAATGGGAATTGGTTCTGAGGGTGCAAGCCCTCAGAATTTCAGAATTAAATTTCAGAAATATTTTGGAATCTCATTTTTCATGTTTCAAAATGAGAGATTTGTAGTATATGTAGGTGGTACAGCAAGAAGAATTTGGGGAGGGTTCTGTGGACCTTTTGGAACACTGAAACTGCTGTATTAGTTAAAATAATATTTTAGTGATCCCTCTCATTACTAGAATTCTTATTGAGAGCTGTCACAAAGTAGTAGCAGATAATAATGTTGCAGATTTTGAAATACTTTCTCTCTTAATCATTATAGTGCAAGTCTTTCCAGAAGTGGCTTGGCTGTGCAAGTATTCATGACAATGTGAAAGTTAAGTTCTGCTGGTGCCTTTATTTTGTATATTTTGACATGGCCGAGTTGTAAAAACTGGCCTACAGGTAGAGGTCACTGTCCAGACACATAATGTAAGGTTCAACAATGAACTGTGTGTATCTGCAGACGTACAAGAAGGAATGCTCTTCAAAATTGCGATGGCTTTGCTTAAATCAGTTGATGCATTATGATTTCATTTCAGGCATGTGATTTAAAAAACCCCAATCCCACATAGTGATATATAAACACCAACCTAATTACTTTTCCTTTAGCATGACTGAGTACAGAGTTGGTGCCCTATACATTACAGTTCATTACAGTTGAAATAGTAACATTTTCTGTATAGATAAGGTCTTTGCAACAGCTTGTATCTGATTTTTCGTACACTATTAGTATTATTTAAGAAGACTTTTTTCGAGGGTTACATAGTTTTAATTGATTAATTTACTTAGGAAATATTATGAAGCCAGGGTGTATGCTGAAATTTATCATCTTAGGGAACTCTTCTCCCCTTCCCCCCTAGATTTTTTCCCCAGATCTCTTTAATTTGTATAAAGGAAATGCGCATATTTTTAAAAAAGACTAATATGTATTTGAATGTGGCATAGGTATGTTCACTCTAATCAGCTTAGAAGCTATTTTAGAGTCTAACTCCATTTGTTTTCATATATTGTTTATAATGGAAAACAGAAATATTCCAGCTATTTATTACTATAAGTTGCATTATTTCATCTTTTTGTAGTCTAATTATTTAAAAAGTGGTGTATAAAAACTAAATATAAAGTTACTAGCTGCAAGACTTTGATGAGTTCCCTAGAAAGAGTGCATTTGTCAGCCTGCAGAAACCTCCTTGTGATACTTGCAGTGCCATATCCTTTTGACTTTGGAATGAGCTTGGAACTCAAAATCCCATTGAAACAGGACAACATTTGCCTTGGGAAGGAGGGACAGGAAATGAATTTGACCATGAAACACTGATTTAAAAATATCAACCAGATGAAGAGCAAAAGGGATGCATGGATAAATGTATAATTCAACTGCAAAACTTGATGTTATCATCTGACAGGGAAATGATCTTTAACGTCAAAGATCAGTCAGCAAATCAGCCAAAACCATCTGTTATGACATTTGGTTTCCTTAAGATCCATATTTTCTCCGAGTTCATGGAACTGGCTCAAGTTTCCAGGAGTGAACTACATTATGAGTAACACACAAATACTGTTCTATTCACTGGACCATTTGAAGAAAACTAATCAAAGAACTTTATTAACATACTTATTGCTGGCAACTAATACCTTTAAGATAGTCAATAAAATTAATCTTGTGAACAATAGTAATTACCAACAGATATGCAGTTACTTTTAAAATATTGTATTGGGAACCTTGAAGAGTATTACAGAAGAATTGCTCTTACTGCAGTGTATTTAGTTTTGTACTACTTTGTATATATCTGATGCAATATCTGTGCCATTAATTTGCAATTATGAAAATTGCATAAGAAATAAAAAGAGACTTTTAAGTTATGTGAATGAGTCATTTAAAAACCACTGTTTTTCTGAATTTATTTCAAGACAGCCCACACCAGGGTGAGTGCAGAATATATCAACATCTGTAAGAGATCTTGAGTCTGATGAATTTGTTAGTCTTTAAAACATTTTTCTCTCTGTAGAGAATACTGATCTTTGATTTCAAAAGCTGGGCCTTTTCACCCCCTCTTTTAACCATATGAGGCATAATAAAAACAAATAACCTTCTAGGGGAGTTTAGCACATTATTTTATAATAGGATCTATATGTTTTTTTATTATTTTTTATCTGCATCTTTTTTTTTCCTGTGACCTGATATTCTGGGAATTCTTTAGAGAAACCAAATTATATTTTAATCCTACAAATATGTGTTACCATGTTTAACAGTGCGCATGTGGGTGGTCACTCAGTTTTTCAAAGATGAGGGAATGACATTTGCTGAACTTGAAAAAGTAACCAGGAATATCTTCTAAACTCCAATGGTACAGCATAGGCCAGGTGTCTCACACAAAAAAAAATTGTAGACTCTTTACATGCAAAAGGATGAACTAGCATAAAGTCTGGCACTTATTATGATTTGGATTTTTGGTGGATGCTGTAAATGTGAAGAGGAGAAAATCATTCTGTAATCACATTGGCAATTTCACCAAAGAACTGCAATTACCGTGATTTGAACATCCTGTAATCCACGACTCCATCAGTACTGTGGAGTTCAAACCTGACATCCCGAGCCATTCTTAAGAGAATGAAGCAGCCCTTCTTGTCTGGCTCTGCAGAGGAAGGCGTCGTGAACGGCACCGAGGCGGCGGCTGCGACCACGGCGTGCGTCCGGGGCCAGGGCGAGGGCTACCGCGGCACGGCCAGCACCATCTGGAGTGGCATCCAGTGCCAGAGGTGGGACTCGCAGTTTCCTCACCAGCACAACATCACTCCTGAGAACTTCAAATGCAAGTGAGTAGAGGCAGGTGGCTATTATTACTGCAGGGGGAAAAGAGCTGAGTTTTAAATGTGTAACAGTTCATGCCACTGGAGCAGACCATAGGGCCTTTGTCCCTGCCCCGGGTCCCGAGGCATCCACTCTACCTGCCGAGGCTAAAAACCATTGAAGCCTGGGAAAATCAGTCCTTCGGATCTCAAAGCAGTAGTTCTAGTTGAACTTGTGTGAAACACTAGGGATTTTTATGAACTTTTCCTTCAATTCGATTATGAAGTGTCTGGATGTGTTCCAGGCTGGGACCTGAATCCTGACAGTGCTGATACATTACCACTGGATTTTTTTTTCATGGAACTAAACCTTATTCACAGCTTGATTGCTGACTTAAATTTAATATGTCCTAAATATTACCTGAATATTATCTTCTTTATAAGGATCAACATTTATAATATTTGAAAGCACTTCTTTAATATTTTAATCCTTTTTCTGTCTAATTTCTAAATACAGATGCATCAATAGGACTGCTTTTACTTGAGTGACCACTGGTCATCAAACCTTTCTGTATGGTTCATAAACTTCCAAGGTGTGAATAATCTACTAATTTTAGGCAGTTACCTTACTAATGTTCATTCAGTCCTTTTTAAACTAAACATAGAGGAAACCTTTCTCACCAGATTAGAGCTACAGCCCTAATATCTTCATTGATGGGTAAATATCAATAAGAATTGCAGTATTAGCACCATTTTTTCCATAGTCTGTTATCAGTAAGTGCTGCAGATGTAAAAAAATACAATGAAATATGGAGATGCACAGAACATGGCAACAACTGTCAGGAGACAGGGAAATAAAACTTACATTTAAGAGGTTTGAATATTTCATGCAAGCTGCAAAAAACATTTAAAGATGTTCCCTTGTGACTAACTTTTACTTTAAAGGTAACAGCTGTATAGAATTTCAACACACACTTTTTTATTTTCCAGGATTCAGTTTCTTAAATGAGTTACTGATAATCTAAAGCACTCTGTTTCTCTAAATTCAGCAGAGCCATTCAAAGTACAGGGAGTTTTAAGCACTTTGGTAAAGTTTGTATTTAAAAGCAATGTATTGTAGGTGTATCCAATGTCAGTTGCATGCAAATTTTGATGGAGGATTTTGAATATAAAATTTTGTTAATATTGAAAATTGAAATTATTGTTAATCCTCAAATGAAATCTTATATCCCATCAAAACATATGTCTGCTGAAAATGAATTTCCACAAACATATTCTTATTACATTTAATATTTTTTTCTCTGGACACTGTGTTCTTACTGGCTCCTCATCTCCTTGCACTTGACACTGATCAGTAACACAGAGAGCTGAATGAGTCTGTATTTTTATTAATTCATAACAAAAAGCAATGGACCACGTTGGTGGGTTTAGGTTATCTCTGCTGCAAGCTAACATATTTATTTTTATAGGGATTTGAGGGAGAACTACTGCCGAAATCCAGATGGATCTGAATCACCCTGGTGCTTTACCACTGACCCAAACATCCGTATTGGTTATTGCTCCCAGATTCCTAAGTGTGATGTATCAAATGAACAAGGTAACAGAGGAAAGGGTGATAATGTGATTTTAAGTAAATGCCATACTGTTCCAAGCACGAAGTAGACAGCTTTGCAAACTGGAGAAGTTGTGTCTGTATTACACCTCTATGTAGTTCTACTTGGGTTTAATTGGCATGCTTGGGATTCATTGTGGTGTAAATGAGATTCTCAGTTTAATTTGTGATTCCAGCAGGGAAAGCTGCAGCAAGGACTTGATTGGATCTGATTTTTAGACAAGGCAAATCTATGTACCTGCTCTACTGTCTTCACCTTTCTTAGTTTATAAGGCCTTTTTCCACAGCTGAGACGATTTCCTTGGTTCACAGTCTTTTTATGATTGCATATCAGACTACCAAAAGTGATTTTTCCCCCTTTTTATTTTCTTGCATATACCTCCTTGTCTAGAAGGGATTGATCCTCTGAGTTCTAACCTATCTCTGTCTGTGAGGTTCATTCTGAGTCTTCAGGCAAATGTTTTTCCCACGAGGTTTTGGTATTACTGTAGAGTAATATTGCATCCTGAACAGATGTCAATCACAGCAAAAACTGAGGCTAAGACCTCAGACCTATAACCCTACATCAGGCTGCCTTAACATCTCCATCTTTAAATTTTAGCCTATTTTTCTGTAAATTTGAAAAAGTTGCAGTTGCAAGACTTATCTCAGAGAAAGGATAAAACTTTTATATTCAGTCTGTGTTTCTTCTAAAGTATCAATTATCAAAAAGTAGAAATACTAATGAATATGAAATTAAGTGCTTTATGCAAAATGTCTTTATAGTACTGATCGTTTTAAACAATTCTCTTGAAAAGTCTCAAAACGGCTTATGATAAAAGCTTATGAATTAAACATGACTTCTGCTGGAGCGAACAGGCAAGTTTTTGAATTACATTAAAATTAAAGTCATGATGATTTTTTGATTTTGCTGCAGAAGTACTTAAGTCTAGAATTATATACTGTTGCCAATATCTGGAAAGTACACAAAGCTAAACGGAATGCCTATTTTTTGTAGAGGAAGGAATAGGGGACCACTTTTTCTTGGTGTTTGTATAAACTAGCTTCTGACAACTTTTAGGACATTCTGTGTGACCCTTCTAAATTAATCATAACTCAAGTATTTATGAAAGAAATTTTCCAATTCTATGTAAGTAAGACAAAATTTAAAATACTGCTGTGGTGGGCATGAAGATCTCAAACAGGAGATTATCTTTGTAAATTTGAAAACTATTTTCCATTTTTCTTCTGATCTGATTTATGCAGTTGTCTTATTGATAGTGTATAGCATTTGCTAAACAGAACATTTGTCTTGTATAATTTGGATTACTGATGGAAAGGAAGAGTTTTCTTCTTAATGTTGCACAATCACACTCCATTTTTTTGTCCCAACATATTTTTTTTCAGATTGTTATCGTGGCAATGGCAAGAGTTACATGGGAAATCTATCCAAGACAAGATTTGGGCTAACTTGCTCCACATGGGACAAAAACATTGAAGACTTACGTAGGTGTGTACATATTAAACAGAAAGAGATGGTTCAGTGAGTCCTGAATAAATACTGCCTCCAGATGGCAATTCTTTTTAATATGCATTGATTCTGAAGTAGCCCCTTATGCCCTGGAGCTTTTAATATCTTTGTTTTCCTAATCTTTATTTTTATATTTTTCTTTTTTTCTTTGTGTTTAAATATATTGCTCAACATGACTTTGTTCAGGCTAACCACTAACTGCAGGCTTTGGGATGTTTCTTAGTGTTTCGTTTACTAGCCTGTTTTATCCCAACCTTGTCCTTGAAAGTTTGGTACAATGAGAGGACATCAGAAATGAGAGGAAGTGGTTGTCTCCTCAGCCTCATCTCATAGCTTCAAGGAGGAGGTTTGCCTTGAAACCACCTAGTGTCCCTTTCAACCTGAAATTGATTCTTTAGTCTACACTCTAGTGACACTGACATCAAATGCCAATGAAAAAACCTGCAATTTCTGTTATTTGTTATTACTTTGGCTTCATATTCAAGTAGTAGAAATGGTAAGTTAATTTACTTGTTGAAGTAAAATGAATTATCCGGACTAAATACAAAAGAAAAGATTCATAGAATGTTTTGCTATGTATGAGATATCACACCACACACTAGTGGCTGTAATGAAAATAATTTCTCCTTCATTTTCCTTTATCTTTGATGCAAATGTCTCAATATTAGCTTTGGTACTTGTAGAGCCAGAGCGTTGAACATATAAGCCATTGTCCTTTGGAAGGGCTGTGTAAATCAGGAAGCTGTATTGCAAAAGGAAGACTTCAGTGGCCCTGTCTGGTATCATCACCTGGATTACATGTGTTTCTTCCCACAGATGGGGAGAGAGAGGATACACATTCCAGTGTGCTGCTCATGTAAGGGGAGCAGAGGTTTAAGCTCTTGCTTTCTGAGAAGCATAAGTCTTAGTTTGCTGTGAATGAGGCAGCAGGAACCTACTGGATGCTTGATGCAACTGCAGTCATTTAATAGAGCACAGATCAGCCTTTCTTTTCTTATTCCCACACATTTTCCATCTGGGAACTTCTTTGGGGAGTTATATTCTCACTCCAACAGTTTCTCTGGTTATGGGTGATCTAGAGGCAGCATGCGTGGTTGGTTATGAACTGAAGGAGCAGTACAGCTGTAACTAAAGAAGCCTGTATCCTTGTATCTGACAAGACAAAAATAAACATCTTCCTCCACTTCAGATTTTGGCCTCAAAATTTCACCTCTAAAGTGCTTCATGTAGGCTTGCAACTTAGGTGACCTATCTCTTCAGTCTGTCTGAGACATTCATTTTTCTCCCTGCCTGCTGCTCATCCTTGCTAATTTTCTTAGTTTGCCTTTCTTTTGCCTTGGATTCAGCTTTGTAGATTCAATGCTCCCTTGTGCTGTTAACCTGGAGCCCAGGTTACCTGTGCTCCCCAGAGAAGCCTGCAGATTTGCTGAGGGCATCACAGGCACTCTTCTAATCAGTATAATGATCCCTCCTGAGGGTATCTAGAGATTTTAGCTTGAGTGGGAGATCTAGAAGCTTCACAGCTGTCCAGTGGACACAGTGCTTAAAATACCAACCAGAGGAAAGTTGGACCCAGATCCAGAAAATATTGGGGGTCTCACCTTCTCTTTGATTTTAACCAGCCCTAAACCCTGACCTGTAGGCTTCTCAATCAGCTAAAAGCAACATTTAACCTTTGGAAATTTGGGATATAGAATAAAGCTTTTCAACACTTTGAATTTTTGTTCCCCTGTAGGCATATACAAATATTCAGAGAACCAGATGTTAGTAAACTGAAGAAAAACTATTGCCGCAATCCAGATGATGATTTTCATGGTCCCTGGTGTTACACAGATGATCCTCTTGTTCCCTGGGATTACTGCCCTATTTCTCGATGTGAGTACTTGGCACTCTGCTGGCATTGTCAGCTGTGCAGTCCCAGTGAGACCACGGTGTCACATTCCTATGCACACCTTCCTATTGTCACTTGTGGCAGCAGAAAATGTGTGATTCCATCAAGAATGCGTGACTGAGAAGGAGCAGACAGAAGCTGCTTGTGCAATATATGAACGAGGGGTTCTTTTCCTTGACCAGCTTGGATATTTCAAGACTTATTTATGCAGCAGGAGCACAAAGGGGCTATTACAGATGGTCAAACATTTTCCAACAGATCTAGCTATTGAATGAGGGTTGGACAGAGACAAATAATTGTCTAGTGGTCAGAATGCTGGCTGTGGCCTCAAGAAACCCAAGCAGAGTTATCTTCTGGGCTACAAGCTTCAGAGACTCTTTGTGTGATCTGTCTTTGTAACGTTAAGATAACTCACTGTATGTATGCTGAAGTGTATATGTGCTATAAAGATTAGATTCTACTTTCGGATGTTTATGGGATGATTTAACTCCTGGCAAGAATTAGGAAAATCATGCCTCCAAAGATGAATGTTTAAATCTAAATAGCTTAAATAAACAGAATTAAGAATCCTAGGGAATTCAGCAATAAACTGATGACAAGTAGAAAAAGATAGTTTTATGCTGAGAAATGTGTAATTCACATTTATGTTCAAAATCTTTCTCTTCAATTCTTATTTCTAAGTTACTTTGCTGTATGTCCTGGGAGAACACTTAAATGGTAAATCAGGCTTTTGAATGCATGTCTGTGATCTCTAGAGGTTAAGGATAATGTTACACTCATTCCTAGAGGCAATATGCTGCATTTCCTCATAGCCTGAACTCCAGCATCTCTAAAAGTGGTATTTGAAATCTCAGGTGATATTTTGGCATCTATGTGAAGAGTAAACAAAACTGTGCAAAAGGTTATTTATGTCAATATAAATGAAGAATAATAGCTGAAGAAATATATTTTTAATTCACTCATTCTGAGTTCATTATTTGGATCCAAGGATGTATTCTCAGCAACATTTGTAGGGTATCCAGAATTGGTGAGTGGTACATTTCTGCAATCAAACACCAGAGTGGGAATATGCCAGGTTTACAATTGCAACTCATATGCACTATTATTACAATACTGCATAAATATATATGCACATCCATACAGTTATCCACGTATGTATGCACACATATGCACATATAGACACATACATATATACATACATGTATATATGCACGTAGAAATTTCACTATGGATATAACTATCTATATATATATATGAATATACCTATATGTGTGCATATATGTGTTTGTACATATATATAATATATATAATGCATATTTTCTTAATGATGGAAATGTAGTTGGATGAGACTGTTTAAATTTTCCTTGTCCAAGTTTTCGGCAGCTACCCCTGTAGCTCATAATGCTGGGTCATTGTACGTGTCACTGAAGGTAAACATTTAGAAACAGGTTTAAGCAAACTTGTAAATATTTTTTTTTTATTGGACTAGATGGAAGAACTGAACCAGATTTTAGGGTACATGTTTTGGTGAGAACAAGTTTTTGCTGATAAACAAAACATCTTTCAAAGTTTTTTAAGGAATTGAGAATTTATTTCAGTCTTCTTTGTATTTAATCACACGACTTCTATAGTTCCTGAAATCTTATATAAAAGTGATAACTTCATTTTTCAGCATTTGCTTGTTTGAATGAAGCATGTAAATTGAACATGATAGGCAGCCTGATGTCTTCAGGATGCAGCCAAGAAGAAAAATGCTTGACATTCCAAACAAAATGTTTATTTCTCATTTCATTTTATTGGAGTAAAATTCGGCCCTCTTGTTAAGCTTTACTGAATACTGCTTTTGCAGTGTATGGAAGAAATCAATAAAGTTTAAAACTCTGTGAACCATTGAAGTTAAAATTATATCATTTGCTGTTGAATTTTATTCAATTTTTAAACGTATTTTAATTTAGTATTATGGCTATCTTATGTGTTTGTCTGTCTAGGTGAAGGTGATACAACTCCTACTACAACCAGCTTGGATGGTAAGTAAATTTTTGTATGAACTGTGCAGTGCATGACTATCCTCTAAATCTAGACATTTCTTTCCAATTGGGAAACAAAATAAAGATTAGTTAAAGTTGTAAAAACCCACTGACTGAGCAAAATTAATTTTACAAGACAAAAATGGGGAATAGCTTTATTGTACTGCTTTATCTATTCTCACTGTCATGCCAGTGGTGAGATTTGGTAATGAGTTTCAATGTTTGCTTTTTAACTATGTAAATCTCAAATAACTATTTAAATTTATGTATTTTCTATTCCCTATGGATATTTAAATAGACCTATTCAGTTTCACTGAAGTAGTTTTGATGGCCTAGAAATATATTCCATTAGCACAGGAAAGTTAATGCATAGTAAATATTGTCCTTCTTGTGGTCCTTATATGCAACTGTGCAGGTTTCCTACCACTGTTTTTAGTAAAATGTGATCTCTGGACCTGCTTTCAGATACTGCCATTCCTTGTGCCTCAACAAAACATTTGAGAGTTGTAAATGGAATCCCAACACAAACTAACGAAGGATGGGTGGTTAGTTTGACATACAGGTAACTATCACTTTGATTACAAGGGCAATACAACTACTAGGATATTTGGTTTAGAATTGTAGAAAATGTTGACCACAATAAGATTATTTCTACATTGCAGTTAAGTTCTGTAAAAGCAGAGAATCAGCTTTCTTCTACTGTCAGGTGATGCCATAGTATTCACTCTGCTAGTGAAATAGTTTATATGTTCATTAACTTATACACATGAACCTGCAAAGCATTTGTCCTGTTCTGCTCTTTCAATTAGCTACTGCAGACCTTTTTATTACATTGGCTTCACATTCAGCATTAAACTGTTTATTTTAGAGACTGTTAGAAAAAGGTTGAATTTCAGATCAATATTTTCACTTTGAAAGTAGGAGCTATGGAGATCCTTTCATTCTGTAAAACAAGACCCTGACATATACATCTTGTGTATAACACATGTATTACATTATGGCAGATCTTTGCTGCTGTGTAAAAGCCAGAACACAGAATGGCTATTTCCTATGTTCTTTACTCTGGTTCATAACTCATCAGCTGGAAGTGTGAATCATTAATTTATAACAGGATATAGCTCATGTATCAGCACTGGGTCTTCTATCATAAAAAAAAAATTAAAAAAGTTTAAAAAGTCATTTGTCCGCTGGGCCAAACTAAAGTAAACTCAATTCTATTAGCTTATTATTCATCATCTCTTTTAACACTATGTTGTAAAAGAGGTATTAAATGAAAAATGGGAGGAAAGGAAAAGATAAAAAATATATTCGCTACATCTCTTCATTGCTAGACAAGTTTGGGAGTGGGGGGGAGGTGTTCTTCCCATCTCTGGTAACCTTTGCATCTTATGAGATCCATCAGATCTCAACCTTGTTGGAAGTGCACTGGAAGATATTTTTAAAGGTAGATCACTATATTCCTAGACTGAGAAACCAGATAGGTGGGCCAAATCACTCCCTGGCAAAGTTAATCTTTGCACTGTTTTAAAAGTAGCCTTGATATTTGATGAATTTTTAGGCAGATAAGGTGAATTATATCTGGGTGCCTAAAATTTAAATAGCTATTGTTAGGGTAGTTGAACCTGGATTTTCTGCTATGCAATAAAATTCTATGAAACATGAGTGCTTAAATGATTGCAGATCCTTTTATGAATAAGGGATTCCTGGAATACTCCAGCAGCAAAATATATCTTGAAGTATTACACATGGGCATAAAAATGTAGTTTTATTTTGTATTGTTACCAAGGAAGCAAATGGAATATTGTCTGAAACAAAATCTAAATTACTTCTGACCTCTCTGCAAGAAAGCCTAGATGTACACTCCGAAATGGAATTCCTGTGTCTGAATGGTGAAGGCCAAGTGAAACCTAGAAACTATTCCTATTCCTAAATCTTCAATTGATCAATGAAATTTTTTTGTATAACCAATTCAGATACTGTAACCAAGTGTATTTAAGTGTATTTAAATGGATTTCATCTGTTTCGTGGAACCGGCTCTAAATTTGCTCCACTCTCAAATGAGGAAATAACTTTTCTATGTGTACTAAAGAATCTTCTAAAGCAGATGATGAAATTCTGTATAACATAATAAGTGATGCAGACATAATATGGAAGAACATAGTTATACTCCTGACTGTGATATTTTTATAATAAAACAAGCTAGAACCTACATTTTAGAAGACTCCAGCCTTTTGGATCAGCTATTTTGCTCCTCAACCAAAATATGATTTAAAAAAAAAAAAATAAAAATCAAAGCTTTATATTATCCTGCTGTCTGTGAACCCCACATATAGTCTGGTATCCATGCAATAGTTCTTTCCAAAGCTTTGAACATTTGTGTGATTTGAATTTATAAATTGTGAGATTTTAAGCTTTTCCCAAATTGCTGACAATTCTGGTTCACTTTTCAAAGAGCTTCAGAAAATAAATGTGATTTTGGAGGCATAAAGAAGGAAACTAATTAATCTACATTCCACAGTAATTTTTTTTAAAGAACTGTCATGCTTAATTGCTTTAATTTTACTTGATATATTATGCTTCAGGTTTTCTATAATCACATGTAGGATGTCATACACTGCAGATTGTTTCCAACTGAAGTATGTGGGGACACAAATCTCCTAGGGCTTGTAATCAAATAGGAACTTTCCACCTTGAGGTCAATGCTTTGAATAATACTTACATGAATAATGACCAAATGTTGTTTACATCTGGTGGCAGTTTGGGGATTTGCTTGAAAGTTTCAGTCCAGTTCCTGTTAAAAAGAATTGGTCCTTGTTTTGTTGTTTTTTTTTTTAATTTTAAATTAGGTGTCCTATTACAAATTCAGTTTTGAAACCACTAAATGAACAGAGTAACTGAATTTGTCTTTCTTTCTGGTTTTTGCACATTGGAGTAAAGCTCTGCAAAGTAATGTTTCTGTTAAGTGTTGAAACTGTAGAGCAAAGGGACAGAGCAAAGTTTCCCCATGTTGTCAGTCTGCCACTTTTCACCAGCAAATGTGTGGGGAGCAAAACACTCTAAACATTTTGACTATGTAGAAACTGATACCAGTGTCTTTGGGTGTTTCTAACCTTTTTTATTTTCTTTTTTTTTTTCCAGGAATAAGCATATCTGTGGTGGTACTTTGATAAAAGAAGAGTGGGTTCTTACAGCAAGGCAGTGTTTCCCTTCTCGGTACAGTAGTCTGTAACTTTGCAATATTAAAATACATCTATTTTTGGGAACTTATCAGCAGAATACTTCTTCAACTTGAATGCAGCAGTTTTTCCTCCTGTTTGGCTTTAGCACTGCTTTTCTGATATAAAAGGCCTGTGGGACCTTGGTATTTTCTGTTATTATTGCTGTAAATCTAAATAGCCCTGGCTATTTTACATAGAAGCATAAATAGATTTTCCAAGTGTCATGGTTAGACAATTGCCTCTTTACAAGAATAATGTCATGCTTCTGCTTAACTGGACAAAATAAAATAGAAAACTTGGGTAAATCTAAAAAAGTTCAAAGGTTCATACTGTCCAAGGATTTAAATGTTTGGATTCTATTATGAAAAAAAAAAAAAAAATATTTTAGTAACAGTTAGAGATAAAATTATGTAATGGCTTCATGCCAAAACCTTACATCCAAGCATGTTGATTTTGGAATAGCAGTTGGCAGCATGAAGCCATTTCTGCTGAGGAGCATTAGTTAAGATCTTCCAGCATAATTATATTAAGCAGAGTTTTTTAGTTTTTTATTTTATTGGACAGTCAGCAAAATCATAACCAACTTTGCCTCATTTAGGTACAAAGATTTGAAAGACTACAAAGCCTTGCTTGGAGTCCATAATATCCAAGGAAAGGGAGAGGAGAAGCGTAGACAAGTCCGAAATATCTCCCAGTTGGTATATGGCCCCCCAGGGTCAGATTTGGTCTTGCTGAAACTTAGCAGGTTAGTAGCTGTTATTGTGAATTCTGAGACTTTCATCTGCTGGGTGAGATTCTTCCTAAATGAGATTTGCAAGGTCATTGCTCTACTGTCTCCAGTAATACAGATGCTGCCTCCATGGGGTAAACTTCCAACTGAAAGAAATTTTACTTGGTATATACAGAAATGAAGGCCCATTGATGTTACTCAGAAAACAGATGTTACTCCTGTGAAATCATACCTGCATTATTCTTCCTGTTAACCATATTTAGCTTTGTTGGGAGATTTAAAGAAAACTCATGAAGTACTCGCATGGAATAGTATATGGTTTTAATTTATAGAATAAGCACCAGATTGTAGCTGAGATCCTGAGATCCTATGTATATACAGGCTTTCAAAATTTCTCCATATTAACAAACCTATATATCCAAATGAAATACCATCACTACTTACTTTTAATCCAAGTCAAATAGCATAAAAATGGTGACAGCATTTCAAGAATTTTGTGACAGTTGGCAGCTGTAGTACAAAAATTAGGTAGGAGAATCCATCATATTCTTCAAAGAAAATAAAAGGAAAATAATTGGCACAGTTTTTAATTGCTTTGGTCTATAATAAGCTTAATATAATTTTTAAAATACATTTTAGAAGGTTAAGTAAAATCCATTATATCTATTATTTCTTTCCTCTTTCAGACCTGCTATATTGACAAATTTTGTAGAAATAATCCGCTTGCCCATTTCTGGATGTACCATTCCAGAGAAGACCAGCTGCAGTGTTTATGGATGGGGATACACTGGATGTAAGAAACTATTTTTAAAAACTAAATGAATACGTTGACAACTTACTTCCTCTTGTCATTATAGGTGAGGCTGCGGGTATTGCCTGATGCCACAGTTTTCCAACACTTCTTGTTAAAATATAAATTTGTTTAAAAAAAAAAATTGTAAACCTCTGAGCCTTTTATCCAAGTTAATTTAATATGAAATATTTTCCACTGGTCTCTCCTTTTTTGTTGTTGTTGTTTCAGGGACAGGCAAAATGATTCAAACATTTCAATGAGTAAATTAGAGAAAAATACCAATCTACATGTAAAAATAAAAAAGCAAAATTTCTCTGCAGCATGTTAACAGGGTTTCTTGACAAATCTTTATTCATCTACTTGAGCAGTCTCTTTCTGTAATCCAAAGCAAGCCCCTGTGGAAAAACTAATACAGAAACATGTAATCAAAGACTTTATTAACATACACAATAACAGTGAACTAGGGATGCGCAGGCAACCCCAAGTCTGGAATTTCCTAACTTTTGAGTACTTGACACCGCAACCTTTCTAATGTTTATTAAACACAGTTTTGTGTGAAGAAAATACAAATATGTGGGAGAACAGACATTTATTTAGTCTAGTAAATGCTATATCTGGCTAATTATGTGTTGATAAAAAGTTAATAGCTGCCAGTTGACAATAATTACTCCAATATTTACTGTGCTCAAATGTTGTTTTGCCACAGACCCTGAGTAAGCAGCAGAAATATACTCACACTGTCCTGGAAGCAGAGCAGAAGCTAGGCTGGAATTCTGAGGCTGTCTTCCTCGTAGCCACCACTCTGCCATTTCTTTGTGGGTGGCAATTAATCTGTACCAGCCCTCTCCCAAATGACTGCCTTTGATGTTCCCAGCATGCCCATATTAGCCATCCTCTGGGGGCATCGGCTGTCTGGGGGACAGGGACATCAGGCTGGAGCACAGCACAGCATCACAGGAAAGCTTAGCTTAAGAGAACTGATAAGGAATTTGCAATGCTGTGGAGTTATGTAATATAGTAAATACATAACATCTGTCATCCAAGGACTTTGTACTATACTTTTTTTCACTACTTATTATAATCCTCACAGAATCCCGGTCAGGGAAGGAAGAAGTGTTACATCCATTTTTTTCAAGAAAACAGGATAATAAGTCAGTGGAGGGCAAGCTTGGCATTTTCTTTTGATGGCTGTGCAGAGAATGGGCAGGTCCAGACCCTTTATTTATCTTTGCAGCTTGTACAGGCTTGTCTTTCGACATGTAGAACAAGAGTAAGCTCCACAGGGCTCCTGCTTCCTGACCTTCACACTGATGAATGGAGATTGCACAAGGCTGTGGCTCTGCCCTTGCAGGCACAAAGTCATTCAGGGTAGCTGAGCCAGCACAGAATGAGAAAAACTTCACTCTGCTGCAGTATTTTTCAAGTCACACGTCCTTCCCTAGGCCATGGCAGGCACTGTTACACATTAACTCATGTTTAGGGCAGGGAGCAGAATCCTCCCTCCACTGATGGGAGAGATAACATTTCCAGGCTCTTCTGATTTCTTTGATGACTGGGCAAGCTGGTGGTGAGCTGTAGAGGAAGCCCAATTACCAGCCCTTTATTCTAGTACTGAAAAGTTGTTCAGATATTCTCAGACATGAACAGACATGAAAACCAAACAAATGTCTGGCAAATCCCATTTGCAGAAAATATAAGAAAACCAAAATTCAAAAGCCTGATAACAATGGGGATAGACGAAAATGTGAGTTTTGAAGAGAAAGTACAATGACTGAAATTACATGAACAAGTTTATCTAGACTGTATCTTGAACCACTTTTTTCCCCTAAAATAATTTTTTTTTTTCTTTTCAACTGTAGTAGTTAACTATGATGGCCTTCTCCAAGTAGCAAACCTGTTTATTTTGGGAAATGAGAAATGCAACCAATATCTCAAAGGGAAGATTACTGTGAATGAGTCTGAAATCTGTGCTGTGGCTGAAACCATGGGTGCTGGGCCTTGTGAGGTAAATATTGCATTTCCTAACACATTTTTTAGGACCCTGGCTATTCCTTTCCTCAAAAAATTAAATTACTGGAGGTTTTATATAATTATTTTAGTTGCACTAAACTTTTGCATTGGAAAATGATTTGTGTTACAAGTCTTCCACTGTATGTCAGAGTGCAGAAATTACTTCAACTTCACTGTGCTACCTCACCATTGAAAGATTTACAGGAATCTTATATATACTCATATATAAAACACTTCACTAGACTGAGACAAACTTGTTTCTGCATACTAAGAACAAAGGTGGGCTCTGTGGTAGCAATTGCTGAGTGTTTTGATTGAGCAGAAATCAAATGCTGGAGTAAATTTATCTCCTTATTTAGAAGAGGTATTGCATGCAAAATACCTAACAGTCAGTACTCAACAGAGGTGATAAAGTTATGAAGAAAGGAGAAAGATCCAAAAATGTACTGAGGTTTTTATGGCTGGAGCCTTTTGGCCTCATGAGCCTGAGCAACATATTGATGAGGACAGGAGAACTACTTCAGTGATTGTATCGTTTGGTACAGTTGTTTTGCTTAGCACTAGTTTTGATGATGGAGAAAAGGCATCTGAGGAGAAAAGCCATAAATAATTTATTACAGGAAGATATAATCTTTTTTTTTTTTGATGGAAAATCTGCAGATATCAGAAGGAGGGAAGTAATGAACATTATTAAGTATTTATTATCTGGAATAGAATTGTTGATTTCCTAATACCGACATTAACCATGTAGTAAAATTTTCCCTACCCAAGGGTACTGCCAAACCATGGGGAACAGAGGTCATCTTCATAAAGCTGAGGCCTCTTCCATTTGTTATTAATATTCCATGGGATCATTTTTTGTTGCAAAGTATTTTCTTCAAAATGAAATGTTTAATTGTAAATGAGGTCTTAGACTTGTCAAGGCTTATAAATGAAACATCTGCATGGGAGTCTGCTGGGGATCCTGCACTTTGTTTTCCCCTGCAAGAAGAAATGGAATGAATTAATATTAGCAATCAGTCTTAATCACAGAGCAGTTTCCTGCTCCCTAAGTTCTCCTTTGAAGCCACTTTCCTTCGCAGAGAACAGGCAGAGGAACAAAATCAGATTGGCAGGTGAAACTCCACTCCTGAAAGTGTTTTATGAGCCGCTCTGATGGCGCTGACATAGTTCATTGTTCATGTGGGAATTAGTCTGCCGTCAGTCAGAAAAAATCCTAAACCAAATAAAGGTCAAGCATTGTTGTTTCTCTGGTGATCCAGAGAGAATGCAATGCTAATTGTCAGCTCTCATTTTTTGAAACAATACCTCACTATCTGATAGGAGAACTTGCTGTCTAGTTTTGCAGCGAGTTTGCTGGGTCCAGTCCACCTTTAAGCTGGGTAGAAACTGCGGTGTCTATGTTCAAGTCCCAGATCTATGTGTTTGTATCTAACTGTGATATCAGTGGTTGTACTCCAAATTTTCATAGAATTCATAAACTAGTGTGTTGGTGTCTCATTCATTCATAATAACAAAAAATATCATTTTAACAAGTTATTTCTCTAAATAATGCTTTATAAATATTACCTTTTATTATTTTTGTTATTCCCACTGCCTATTAGTACATACAGATTCTCATCCTATGTACTGGCAAGATGATTGACTGAAAGAAAGGTATTAACCTGACTTTGTCAGTAGTGTTTGATGCAAAGCCTGTCATCATAACAAAGATGTTTATCTGTCAACTCACATTCTGCTCATCTAGTTTATATTCACATAAAAAAATATTAGGCTTTCAGGTAGCTAAAAGAGGTGAATAAAATCTGGTAGTCTGAAGTCACTAGAATCACAAAAAGATGGATCACAAAGCTTAATTTGCACAGAAAGGAGCAAAAAGTCAGAGGCCAATTCTGACATTGTTTCTCATAAGTTCTGCTTATGAAAAAAAAAAAATGTTGGAAGTTGGTTTATGTCCTGTGGCAAGAACACTATTGCCTGGTGCATCCTGTCACCTCCAAAAGAAACCATTCAGCAGTAGACAGGTTAGAGATATGTCTTGAAGCATTTTGAGAAGTGACACTCACACTGTTCCTTTTTCTTCCTAGCGAGACTATGGTGGTCCTTTGGTTTGTGAACAAAACAGGCTGAAGATAGTAATTGGTGTCATTGTTCCTGGCCGTGGATGTGCCATTCGAAATCGTCCTGGGATTTTTGTTCGGGTCTCATATTATTCCCGGTGGATACACAAGATTATGATGACCTACAGAAAACCCTGAAAAAGTCAACAATTTCTACTGAAAGATTTTGGACAGCATGTAATTAATGTGTAATGTAAAGATCAACAATTTTTAAAGTACTTGATAGTCAAGTTTGTTGAGCTTCTTTTAATATTTATGGGTGTTTTTGGTGTTTTTTGTCTATCAGTGTTGTTTTATAAATGTTGGAGCGACTTACAGTATATGCAAGTATGGTGACATATCTCCTGAAGATACTTGAATGGATAAACAATTTTGCAAAGACATTACTGGATGATAAATGGTTTTGTAGAAATAGATCATATGACCTCCTTAATGCTGCTCTTCAGATTATCTTAGAAGGAGAAACAAATCATAGTTCTACTTAACACATCTTATTCTTTCTATGAGCCATATATTTCTCTTCATATATAACAAAAGCCCTACTGAGAGATATATGCATCTGTCAAGGACAGCATTTATGATCATATTTTTCTTTCCCCCTTATAAGAGGTCAAAGATTTCAGTATTTTATTAAAAATAATAGCTTTAGTAAATAGTCTTTTCATTATTGATGGACTTTGACAAGCCTGCCATAAGCAGAGTTCTCATAGAAGTCACTACTCCTTTCTTTTACACAGCTTACAGACTCTAGTTCTGCACTTGGTTTCTTCACTGTTTATGTGGTCCTCTAACAGATATCTCAGGCCCCATTTTGGTTAGCAAACTATTGATAATTTCTTTAAAGTTTGACCCAGAAATAATTGTGGATTTTCAATGCTAAAGACAGCATCTCGTATGGTTTGAAAAAGTAATCTTCATTAGTTATTGGAAGACTTTGGGCGTTAAAAGAAATTAAAATCAAATATGCCCAAATCTTCTAAACAAACAGTTGGTTCTAGTTACCTCGTGAAACTCTGCATTTACAGCAAGAAAAAGAACAGTTGAATCTAGCTGAGAGACTTAAGACTGGGAAAAGTAAGTTAAACATTAATGGGTTTTCAGAGACTTGAGAACTTTAATAAAACCTTAACTAGATTTGGATAAAATTATATCCTTTGTATATTTCCTTTCAGGATAATAAAACAATTGTAGAGATTGATATGATCTTGTATTTAATATGGACAACATCACTGATAGTTTAGTTGCTCATTTCCTGCCTATATATAGGACAATCATTTTCTTTTATGCTGATAGGGAAAGGGAACAAAAAATCATCATCTATGAAACATGCTTGTTCTATGTAGGCATTTAGTTTTATGTCTGGAAGTATTGTACAAATATGTTGTTGTAAGTGGCACTGATTACCCTTTAATTTCTGGAAAATTGATATGACATATATCCAATTGTTAGTTTTACTACTGTACATGTAATTGCATAAGTAACAGCACTGTTACTTCACTTGCGACTGTGTAAATTGTAAATGTTTCCAGTAGTATTTGGTCTGTGTTTCATATCTAACTGCACAGCCACAAGGCTGACACCATGGTGTAGACCTACAAAAGGACATTTCAGGCAGAAGATGCAGGGTCGAATCCTGCCCTGTCAGAAAGCAACCACTTCAGGGGAGATGTCTTGGGAGACAGGCCTTGTCTTGACTCACCAAATTTCCTTCAGCAGTGCACTTTGACTTCAGTGGGACTCGAGTATGCTTACATCTGGTGAGCTGGGATGAGTTTCAGCCCATGCCTAAGTGGTTTGGCTTGCTGAGATTTGTGTCACATATCCAGCGGACTCTACTGGCACATAGGAAGAAGTGTTTCAGCAAGCAGAGCTTCTGAAATTCCTCCTGATGTAAATAGCCTCTTTGGACAAGATGTGACTTCTCTGTACAGCAGATTCAAGGTTGTGGATGCTATGCAGACAGTCTGTCTCAATCTATTCTGGCCACCTCTGAAGGCTTCATGCTCCCTTTGACCTCTCTTACTTACCAGGCCTAAAAGAGGGCAGGATTTAGCCTGTTGTATTTACACAATTATTGTCACGTAGGTGAAGAGTGCATTCATACTAAGTATATACTGACCATATCTTATTGAAAGGATTACATTTTTAAGAAAGACTTTTAAAAAACTCCAAGTGAGTTTTGTTCTCAGCCACAAGTAGAATGTGGATAAAATATACAATTCCATGTTCACTCTTTGTATTCTAAGAATTGTAATGTGCTTACTGTATTATATTTGCAGGAATTTTGTTATGTCTATCTAAAAAATTTGAATCCTAAAATATTTTAGTTATAAGCTTCTGCTGTGCAGAAGGCTGTGATTTTTATATATATATATCACACTCACACACAAGCACACACACACACACACACACACACACACACACACACACACAAACACACACACACACGAGATAAAAATACTGGGTTTTTTTAGACAATGTGTAAGGATTTTTACCTGTTTGTTCTGGGCAGTGCCTCAGTAAAATAAATTGTGCAGAGTTGATGCTCCAGAACTTAACAAGTTGTATGCACTTGCTTACCAGGTACTTTTGCTCTCCCTGTCTCAGAATGGAGGGCATCTGAGATCCTGAAGAGCAAGGGAAGAGAAGAATAATGATATGTGGTAATGAATCTGTACTTCATTTATTCCTGTGAATATTTCTTGTTGGTACCAATGGTACCGTACCAGGCAACTGTTATAACTACAGGACTCTCTTAAAAAAGGACACTCTATAGATATTTTTTTCACTGTTTTAGTATTTTTCTCTCTGTTATAACAAGGGAACCTGATCTAGTGCCCATCTAAATTGCTGAAAAATCTCTTATTAACTTCAGTAGGATTTGAACTTTACTTCATAAATGTGGTTTTAATCAGATTAGAATAAGGGGTACAGAACCTAAATTCTTATCTGAGGACATTCTTAAACTCCACTGAATTTCATTCTCATTCTGCTTGCTGTACCTAATCCTTTATCTCTGAAAGGTGTAATGTCTGGATATAAAATTCTGGAACTAAAACTTAAGAACTGGTTTTGTGCAACTGAAGTTAGTCTAACTTAATCACTATTATCTTTGGGCATTGGAACTGGCTAACGCTTCTTCCCTTTATTAAAGAAAACATTTTTCCCTTAAAAAAGTTTTCCCTCTATCTCTTTTTCTCATAAACCTCACGACCCTCAGAGAAAAATGTAGCTCTCAATTGGGAATGTACTGGTCTAGATTTTTGCTGCTACTGCTGAAATCTTCTTCTCTAGTTTAAGATGAAAATTCTCTGAGACATTCTACAATCCCTTCCTGCAGGCAATGCCAATGTACTTGACAGAGCTACTCACTTGAGTTAGAGCTTTTCAGACGAGGGTCCCAATATATTTCTGGGGGTCAAAATCTACTCAGGCAAAATGTCCCTTGAATTCAGTGAATGTGATTATCAAAAGAGAAGGGCCTAAGAGTTGTTCACTGCTTATCCACGTGGATCCTTGTACTCAGATACTCAGCTCCAAGGCAACGTCAGCAGGAGCTGAGGCTTTGTCATCATCCTTCTGGAAAGCTGGTTGTAAACCAGTTGACCCCCATGAAGACTCTATGAAGCCTATTGGATTGGTTATTTAGCTTGTCTCCTTATCAATTATTTTCTCCCTCCCTCATGTGCACTGGTATATTACTGTTTATGAATGTTGGGGCTGCTGGCAGGAACTGACATGGCTTTTTCACCCTAAAATTTTCCAGTGTTCCTTTTTAAACATACACTTGGGCATTTATGTATGGTGTTTTCTTGCATGGAATCTAACTTCAGGGAGCTACCTGTGGAGTTAAGTGTATGATAAAAGTATTTTTTTCTTATTTAAGTGGGAAAAATAATGCTCCCATTAAGTACAACTTGCAGAATGCCTAATGAAAAGGGAACACTGTGGTTATAACTTGTAATACAAATCTTCTGTAATTAACATCTTCATTAGTTAATAAAGTTGGTATTTTTGTAACCTTGTTTACTCTTATTATTCTTAATAAAGTATTTTATAAAAAAACAACAACTTAATTAGCATTACATTTCTTATTGAAAGAACAAGGTCAGAACCCCACTGCAAGTCTCCCTGTTCCAATTCCAGGGAGGGATTTTAATGTGCAAAGTAAGGAGGACTGGTGCTTTAAAGATACTCTTGTGTCCAATTGCAGAATTGAAAATAAAATGAAAGAAAGAACCAAATACATGGTGATCTTGTTGAGACTTCCCAAGACCTTTCTGAATTATTTCTGTACTTAGAAGGGTCTAAGTATATTACAGTGAGAGTATATTTGCAGTGGAAAGAATGTTCTCAAGCTAAACACAAATAGTTCCTTAGAATTTCAATATGAGAGGCTTGGAATTTTATTTATTTGTATAAACACACTTTACACTTCTGGAAAGGTCTCCCCTCTCAGTATCACTTAATACTACTGATGGTACAGAAGATGACGCAAAGGAGAGCAGTAACTTGCAACAAACCTTGGTGCTGCTGCTGCACTTAATACCACAACCAGCCAGCAGCTACCAGAAAAGGAAATAAGCAATACCCTTACTAACCCCACCAGATCAGTGCCAAGTATTGTCACACTCCTATAACATCAGAGCATTCTGGTGAGTTCAAATAAGGGACAGTAAGTTCATTACTTCTTTGTCATTACCCAGCTGAAATTTCAAAGTTGTAAGCATTTCTGTTTCTGTGATTTTGATGATTTAAATATATATTTGCTCCAGCTATATCCACAGTGAATCATTTTTCAAATAAACTTGTATCCAGAGTGTTTGAAGTCTGGTTCTGAACTTTTCCATGGCAAACATCTCATTTTTTTTGTTTGTTTTGTTTTTTGTTTTGGTTTTTTTTTGTTTGTTTGTTTGTTGTTTTTTTGTTTGGTTGGTTTTTTTTTTGTTTTATAAAATCGGGTTTTCTTATAAATCCATAAAATCAGTGAATTTTATCAGGAACTCCTGAAATCAGTGGGAAGCTTGCAATAACTTCAACCATAAAGGAATGCTTCCAAAGTTATAAAAGTCCATAAATAGTCCATATGTCAAAGCAATACTTTGCTATAGTTTTACATTCAGTTTCCAATATGTTCAGGTGACCTGTATGTCTTCTGGGAGCCATGAGAATTAACTGCTTGTACAGCAATTTGCACCACAAAAATCTCTGAAGGGATATTGCCTTCACATTACGTTCTGTTGTGGCTTTATCTTTTGTAGCTGCAGGAACACTGTAATCTGCAGAAGATAAATGATGGAAACCCACATTGATGCTCACTGCTTGTGTTCTGCTCTGTGTTATTTAACAAGGCTCGTGTAAACAGAGCAGGCCATTTAGTAGGGCTCAGTTGTGTATTTACTCTGCCTTCAAAAGCACCGATTTCTGGACAGCTATGTTCCTATAAAACCCACGTGCAATAAATAGGAAAGAAAACAGCTGGGAGGGAAAAGGCAGCCCATAAAAACATTAATAACAAAATAAGCCCTAAAATAAAAAGATTTTGTTTTCCTGTTGTCTCAGTTTTTAAAACATAGGATATAAGGTGTAAAAAGCTGCAATAGAAAAGCTTAATAGCTAAACCTACTTCAATTTTTGTTGAGAAACCTGGGAAAATGCAATGACTTGTCCATATGGTCACAGAAGATGTAGGACAAGTTGTGCCTCTGTGTCTGAGGTCTTGAGCCTACTTGCATTGAAATCACTGTCAAAACACTATTTTAAAACACTATTTAGCCCAATCTAGGGCTAATGGATATGTCCCAAAGCTTCCTTCTGAACCCCTTGGACCCTGTCACAACATTGTTTCAGATCCTGACTTAAGAAAGTGCTCAGGGCATGTTCCAGTCTGCTAATGAGTGTCAGAGGGAGAAAATATACATTTTATTTCAAAGCTGAGCATCAAAGTTCAACTTAAGACTATCAAATTTGCTCAGTCTAATTGAAGATGAGAATTGGTTAATTTGCTTACTATTCAAATATTGTTCGTTAAATAATAACAATAACAATAATTTTATTATTATTATAAATTATTAAGAAGAAGAAGAACAACAACAAAAGTCTTAAACTCCATGAGTAATGCAGCTGTTATTACTGTAGATTTTATGCACAAAATAATAAATTCTTTAGGGAAAAACTCCTCACAAGAGTAAAAAATATTCCACTTCAGAGTCCAAGAGATGTCCTGTACTTGAGATATCTCAAGCTTTGTCTTTTGAGGCTAGTGTTGACCTCAATTGGCTTATTCAATACATTTTACTGGGAGAAAAACTATATCGAGGACAGTGCAATTCATAACAATTTATCAAAAATAAGACAAGAAATAGAACATTAGAGGTATACGTTGCATTAGATGAAGCTAGTGTAAAACACAAATAAGGATATAGTCCTTCTCTTTCATAGAGAGAAGTTTTGCCTTCAGCAATATATGAGTTTATAGTATTGAATTCAGTTCATATTATACTGACTAAAAAAATTCCAGATGGTTTTCTTTTCTTGAGGATCAATGTCAGCATTATACACACAACGAGCAAATATGCATTTACATCAACATTGCTGTTACAAACCATGTCAACAACAGTCTCATGTCTTGGGACTAAATATGCCATCTGCTGTTCAGTCTTGTGTTTAACAGGGCTCTCACTTCACAGAGCAGTTACAAAACTGCCATCACAGAGCTCCCTCTCCATTTCTTTAAATTCATTTTTTAAAAAATTTTAATTTTTTTTCAAATTTTCTGTTCACAGAGGTGTAAGTTGTGGAAGATTTGCATTAAGCATTCACTTGAAAGCCTCCAGTTTCCATTTCTGTACATCCTCACAAGACAGATGAGTCCCAATTTTTGCCTGATCCTTGAATTCTTTGAAGCCTATGCCTCTGTTGGCAGAGTCCCCACATGGCCTCATTTTTTTCTGTGGTATATATTCAGAAAAAGTCCACAAAATACCTTTAGGAGGGGAAAACTCATTGCAGCTCAGCCTCCAGCTGAGCCCTGATGTTCCCAGCTTGCCATGCAGTGCATTAACTCATGGAAAGGAATATTCTGATGGGCTAGATGGGTTCTACACATCCCACATCAGCAAAGCCTGGGGAGGTGCTCCACAGCCATCTATACCAAACCAGACATACATTGCCAGTGGTCTGGTGTGGCTGAGCACTAGAAGCACACAAATTGCACATGGACACAGAAACAAGTGCACATCACACCCACCCAAATGCACATAAATGCCTTCACAATGGTATCTAGCCAACTAATTAACAAATTCTCAGTCTACACATATACTTCAGGAAAAGGATTATAACAAGGGGGTTTCCTTGTCCCAG